AGCCGAAAATAACTCAGTGCTCGACTCAGCGTTGTGTGTTTATAAAAAAGGCCTATCGTACGCTCATACTCTCAGATTTCAACGCGTAAACACAACAGAACAAGCGACGAATTTCACGCGGCGAGCTAATATTCCTAAGAGATTAAATTGACAATTAAAAGAATCTAGGATTTAGTCATTATATATAGGCCATTAAAATTCTATAACGAGCTTATTTTCAAATGCAACTTAGAAAGGGGTTAAACCAACGCGTAATCCACTTCAGCATCGAATCTCATCTCGGTGACCAAAACGTTCCGCGCAAATATTTACTGCATAACAAACGCGAAAACAAATCCTGTTAATTTGTACTGTTTATGGCTGTTTCCTAATTAACATAGGTGTATATTTTCACAGATGTGTAAGACTCTCATCTATTCGGCATTTCCAGTGGACAACGACTTTTCCTGAAGATCTCGCGAGTCTAATTCAAGGGTATATAGAGGAAACTTAGCAGCCCGCTTATTAATACTTCCCTAATTTAAAGAGTGGGTTGAGATAGCAAAGTGGCGTTTTCCTTTCTGCTAAGGGCGGCAATTTCTTATTACGATGAACAAGTGTTTTCACCACGAGGGGTCGAACCAGCGCATGCCCCTAATTTCTGTGCTGAAAGTTTGCTTGATGTTAGCTGAGGAGGTTATCAAAGCGTGCGCAAGGTTTCCAATGGACAGATCTGTGCCAAGCTGAAGCGCGTGACCTACCTTGTGGCCTTGAAAGTCATGGCCAAAATCAAACGTGGCTTATTTTTCCAATCAAACCGCCCGACATGTCGTCTCTGGCATTTTAATCCAGCTTTAGCGAGCGTGTTTGACAATGAACAGACCTCGACAGTCAGGCGATCTATTCCACGATCTAACATTATTACTTGTTAATCAACACCTGTTGGAAATACGCTCAAACGCATGACCCATGCGTGGCCTGTTGACGCGAAGTGACACCATTTATCGACATGTATTATCACTTTCTCGTTTACCCAACGGCATTTCCGGCGTTGTCTTGTAAAGCTGAAAAATATGAAATCCGAAATCTGGACTCTCAGATCCGCGCAAAAACATCGCAAGACTTTGAACGATATACAACTGGAGTGCTATTATCCGACCTGGAATGCGAGGCGAACCAGTGAACTTTATTTGAACTGGAACGATAAATTTGATATGCGCAAAGCATAGCATTTTGGAAGCTAATTTTGAAGGCATAATAGAATCATTAGTCTACCAGTTTTTGTACGAGTAAAATGTTGTCCCTGTAGCAATTGTCCCGTAAAAAAATCTATTTGCTATGCTTAGCATGGCAAGTTTACAGTCCGTCTAAATTATAAGTCAATTGTCAATTTTAACGCTATCGCTTCTAAGAGATTAATGATCTATGCAACTGACCATGGCATTTCAGCTGAAAACTACACTCTAATGCGGCCTAGTTTGTTACAATTTGATTGATAATGGAAGACCGGGAAATTTCAGGTTTAACAGAAAGAATCTAGGCAGTGACAAAGCCTTTAAAAAATGCGATAAATAAAAGCTCATGAAATCGGCTTTTAAATCATACTAATCGCTGACGATTGTGATTAAAAGTACGTAGTACTGACGACATACAGGAATTCTCGTCCAAGGGCAAAACGCGAACATTTTTTCGCGTTTTTTTTTCATGTGTCAAACATAACGTTTAAGAAATTGAACGGAAGCGAATTAGGTACAAGGTTTATTGACCCGATTACAGTGCAAAATTCCAACGGTCAATGGCTGTTATATCGGCGACAATCTTCATCTAACGCTTCCCCAGGAAAATACGAACAACCAAATTTATTCATATTTATTGCAGGCACCTTTTTATTTATGTTTTTAGAGTATATACGAAGTGTGGGCGGTGAAACGTAAATTTATGTGTCATAGGCCATCAAAATGTGAACGTTACGCCCATCGAATGTTGGAATTTTCCACTGTAATTAGCTAAATTTTGCACCCAATTATAGTTTCCGCTCGATTTCTTAAACATATGTTTGAGAAATGAAAAAACGCGAAAAAATTTTCGCGGTTTGCGCTAGTTTGGACGAAATTTGCTGCAACGCAAGATCTCAAAACCTACACTTTTAACCAAAATAAACTACGCCTTCACAAAGTGCGCTAGAAATGCGATAAACGCTCAAGATAGGCTTTCAGAAAATCATACTAATCGCGCAACGATTGTTATCAAAGCCAAACGTGATGATTTTTCGTCTGACGCTGCTTTTAAGATATGGCCAACTAATGTGATATTGCCAATTATAACATACAGTAGATTGATTACCCTGTTATTTTGGAAAACAGTGCTCGTCAAGTGCATGTACATACGTCTGCCGAAAATCGCACGAAGCCGGAAATTACTATGAAAGATAGCAAGAAAACTGCATCATGTCCTTGGGAAATAGAGATATTTTGAGGTTAATGCATGTTCTCCAAAATCTACCCAGAAAAGGCCGAAATGTTTTTTCTTTCACTATCAAGTCAAAGATACTAGACAATGATTTTATTCAGTAAATCTATTTTGCAGATATGTAATGATCTTTCTGATTATCAGAAGAAAAAGACTCCAAGAATTGTGAGCTGGATCATTTGATAATGATGTTCTATTAACTGTGGATGATACGAGTCATATGACTACTGATTGACAATCCATACAACCGTACGATTAGGAGCCATTTTAAAAGACGTCGAATTCGCGACAACTGTAGGTTATAACTTATAACTTATAACATAGCTCTAACTGAAATGTCTGTTCAGTTCTTGTAAAAATTCGCTCATAAATTCCGCACAGTTTGAAATATACACAAATCGCTTGCTTACATTCCGGACCAACCATTCCGTTCATTGCTGGGCGATTCGGTCGAAGTCGTGTTTGGGTAACGATGGCTATCCAAACAGGAAAACTTTGGTCAAAAGCAAACATACTTCATGTTTAAATTTTTGAATGAACCTATACAAAGTCAGTTTTTTATTATAGAAAGAATGCCTTATCAATTTTGCTATTTGGATAAGTTAAGATGGTCGCTCGACCTATGTAAGGCAACTTCACACGTCAAAGTCGTCATGCATGTAAAACGCCATGTGGTCGTTTCTCTGAGGACCCACCCCTTCCCCCTTAATATATAACAAGTCGTACGTCATACACTCTTTTCGACTGTTTCCGAAGACTCCCGAGCCGTGAGACTTTAAGGTCCGTTCAAAGATCCAACCAATTCACTTCTGATGCATTGAATACAGACTCTTATGAACAGAGAAGCTAGGTGGCGCATTGGCTTTAGTTTAGTCAACAGACTTTAAAACATCCATCAGAAGTAAATTGGTCCGACAACTGACTGGGTTTTGTAAATAAACCGCTTAATGGGGTTATCCGACGAGATCGAACGAGGCGTGAGAAGATTTTAAGGTAATGAATCAGGTGACTGAGGTGACACTAAATGCTCACTCACACAACCTCGTTCCCAAAGCCGTTCTACAGTTGATTCTGGGTTGGGGTAAAAGGCCATGGGATCGGCCAGCCGTTTCTGACTTCTGATTGGTTAAATGATTTATGTGCAATCAGAATGTGGAATATCCCATTGATCTTTGATAACAGAATTTCAATCTGCCCTCACTGCCTCAGTGCATGGGTGTAAAGCCGGTTTTCCACAAGCGATATTTTTCGCGCGAAGCGACATTTTACTTTTGTTTCAGAGCTCTCAACTGCAACCATCTGGAACCAATTGCTCAAATACAAAGGAATAAAGTCGCTTCGCGCGAAAAATATCGCTAGTGGAAAACCGGCTTAAGTGGAGAGTTCGACCAGTACTTGCTCCCCTCTTTGTCTCCACTTGTTCGACTGAGTTCGACTTGCAGTTCTCTTCGCACGCACTTGTCTCAATACCGCAAGCCAGGTTTATGACACTATTTACTACATTTGACTAAGCAAATTGAATGCATGTTATGTTTACAAGATTCGGACCTAGCTAGGTAGGATAGAATTGCTGTAGCGGACTTTCCACAACGCTATTGTTATAAAAGAAAACTAGTGATATTGTCAATCCAATTAATGGAATATTAAACCTGTACGAAAAACCATTGGAACTTCGTTAATATACTGTAATACTTCGTTAATATACTGTAAATTGTATACTGTAAATTATAGATATACTTCGTTAATATACTGTAAATTGCAACTGTGTTCACATTTACACTTACCACGGACAGGTGCCACCAACATAATCGAAAACAATTATTCCCTGCTTGGCAGCAAGATAATGAGGATTGAAAGATCAATTTTGAGACGCAATCTACAAATTAAAAACGGAAGCAATCAAACAGAACCATAACTGGCTGTTTACATAGACCCTCCTTGGAGGGCCACCCTCTACCAGGCGGGATCTCACTATTGGCCACCCTATGGTCTAGGACGGCTGAAAATATTCCACTGCCTACTTTGGGGCAAGGTCGCCTAACGTCTCCTAAGGTCGCCTAATGTTGCCTGTTATCGCCCAATGCTGCCTACTTTCGCCTACTGAACTTTATAAATGCATGTATATATAATATGAAATCACCGCGTTTGCATGAAATGTTGAAACTGTGAAAGCAAATATAGTAAACCTACTCTGAGGGGATACAAGGGTGAAAGGTGAGGACAAAGAAGTGCCAGTCTATTTTGTTCATTAACATTACTTTGTAGTCTTGTAGATAAAGTTTAACATATTCAGTATGAACATTTGACAAGCCCATAAACTATCAAAGTCTTTGGTAAGCCTTAGCTGCTTTTATTATTATGAGAGAATGTGAAAGGTTCAGGGTTTTTTGTTTACAGTGTGCACGCTGTGTAGCGGTTTAATTTTTGACATCGGGGGGCCTATGACCCCCTGTGTGACGCAATTTATGGATCGCTCTGTGATTCGCTGGATACCATCGTCACGTGATACCCGTCAAGCATCGACCACGAGTTATTTTCACTGTTAGTTTAGAACCAAGGGTTTTCCTTCGCTTTTGAATTTTAAATCTGTGCTTAAAATAACTTTTTTTGTAACGAAATGGATGTAATAAGGAAGCATTACAAAGTAACGTGTTCGTTGATGGAGTAGGTGAAGCTTCACATCCAGAGTCCCAACTATAGCCAAGCTTTGGGGACGTTTATGGCGTCTAGCATCGTTGCTTGCGATGCGACGACATGCCTGCGTTTGGGGGAATTCGGCGCGGAAAAGGCAGGTACTATGAACGAACTGCTTTCCGTGCTTGTGAGTGAATCGACGATGAAGGGAGAACCGCGGGATAACATGCTATCTATGGGTTATAAGCGTGCATGCATCTGACCTGTCACCTGTGAATGGCTGTGATCGTGAAAGACCCTTCAAGCAGCTATCATAACAGCATGGACTCCTTCGTGCAGTCTGATATGTTTGAAAGTTTGAAGCGCTACACGAGCTCATTGGAAGCGACTTGATGCTTTACTTCATGAAAAATTTAAGCTTGTTCGTCAAGGAAGGCTCTTGCTTCGTGCAGGCGATCGGAAAACCGATCAATGAAGTTGTTTGGAATGAGTCGAAGGTCCCCGCGGAAAAAGGTCAAAAGGTATCAAGTGTTTTGCGTTTCTATTTTTTAAAGAAGCTATTGTTAATGTTAGATAAATTATATTTGTAGCGAATTTAGATCGTTTCAACTTTCAAGTGCAATACAATGTCAATAGACTTGATTTTGAATAGCTAATATAGGCTTTTGCCTTTTAACAATACTCAATACTAGGCTTTGTTAGTAAAACAATGGGGAATGTTTTCTGAAGCTTGAAGCCTGGGTTTTTTTTCTTTGATGGGAAAATCGTTTTGATTTAAATGCATGCAAAAGACTGCAGAAAGATTATTTGTTTGAAATTTATTTTGTCTTTCTTACCTTTATGTTATACAAGCCTTGACAATGTGCTATTAATGATTGTGCCTTTTTTATCCCTGCTCAAAACAGAACAAAAGCAACACATTTTTTAAAACATACAAAATGTTGAAAAGCATCAGGTTTTCATCAATTCTATTCCCAAATATTCAAGTTTAACTAAGGATTAGTACAAAATATCATGATCATTGTACCACACCTGCCACATGCTCTTACCTTCCTCATGAAAAGTCTCATTCAGTATGCTTGTGTTTATTTTACTACAGGGTTTTTTTTATCAATAGATCTTTTTTATGCTTAAGTTTCCCAACAAATAGCCAACAAATAGCCTTTCATGTCATCCAAGAATGTTGGATTCAAAAATTGCAGCACCTTTCTGGGTCAATATAAGACTCTCCTTGAATATCTCCTGTGATTAACAGGCTCCAAATTATTTTTCTTTATTTGTGCCAACCTCACTTTTAGAAAATTGGCTCCCTGAATGATATTAAAAACATTTTTACAGACCTGGAGCTGTTGCTTGAACAACATTTAACTTGAATGGTCGATAATTTCAAAATGGAAAACAAAATTATCAATTTATTGAACAACTGTGCAGTCTGTGCTAAAATATTTCTATGTAAATAGTTTGATGTGCCATGAAAGTACATATTTATTATTTAATGCATTTAAGATTTAGGTTTAGTCAGGTTGAGCTAAACACCTTTCGAACAACCGGTACATAGTGCTCAGCTTTCCCAAACCTGTTCAATGTAAATACATGTAACATTTTTGATCTTGTTTTTAATTAATTTCAAAATAATTTTTAACCATATGTATTTAAATAACATATTTTCATCTTGGCAAAATCACTGACTTCTTAGCTAAGGAAGCTATTTTGAATTTCCCTCTGCATTTACCAAGTCCTGGGGCAAGTTATTTTATCAATATGGCAGCATGTGGATACAAGACCTGACTGACTTGTCTATATATTAGTAGGAATTCTAGTGTTGGAAGTATTGGTGAATTTTATGCACTATAAGACCTGACTAGGAACAGTTTTTAAAAATTTGCAACTACATGCATTGTCCTTTGCCAGGAATCAAACCTGGTATATTAGTTTAAATTTTAAGGTGACTAATGATTTTCCTGCATTCTGATTGGTCAAAATTCACTGTCTGTGAAGTCACTTTTTGTTGTTGTTTTTCACTGTCCAAATTCTAAGAGACAATATTGTAAAACATCTCCAATTTTTGTCTAAAATTACTGTGTACCTAATTACCTGTGAACACTTTCTATGCATTTTTTACAAGAATTGTTCTCTAAAAATTACCCTCCATTTTAACAGATGTAAAGAAACCTTCCAAAGATTTGGTGAGCCGCAAAATAACTGGTGTTGTTGGCCATGATAAACGCTGGTGTTTTCCAGTGGACCATGTTATGGAGAAGTCGCCATGTAGCACCATTGGGGCCCGCGCTTTGATGAAGGAGATATTCGCCAGTGACCAAACATCAAAATACCTTGAAGATTCATTTGAAGATTTTGTGTTGTTCCTGCGAAGACATAAGTCCTGCCCATTTAAGAAGCTGTTAGTTAACATTTGCCCAGGATCCAAGAGCCTTGAAAGTGTTCCATTCCATCAGGTAATTTTTAAAATGTGTGTAGACTTTTCAGGAATAGATCCTTGGTAGTTATGGTAGGAGGGGGGAGGGGGGTTGCTGGGCATAGGTTGTGGTACAGCTGTTGGGAATGTTATGTGCTACCTATATAGTCAGGCTGTAGGAAAGACTCTTTTGAAAGAGAAACTTCAAGATACACAAGGCACTGATTTTTTGTACACCCCCTTGTAATTTAAACTAACACCTATTCACCCATGCCCCCTCTAGATTAGGCTATGGGGTTTGTACCCCCTTACCAGTAAATTCATCCCTTCTTCCTGTCATGGACACTGTTTTCATTCATCTTTTCCTAGGACCTTCATAATTTTGCCCTTTCAGACACCCCTTCCTCCAGCCCTTGCTTATAACCTGTTTACATCCTGCTTGAAGCCTTAGGGGAGAGGAGGGCAACCCCATCAATAACAGCCCAATCACTTCGTGCACCATCAGACTTTTCTTGCACTGGAAGGCCCAGTGGCTGCCAGTAAAAGTGGTTCACTTCACCCTTGGCCAACACAGATCTTTAATGCTATAATATCCAATGTGTGTGGAATGTGTTTTATGCAGGAAAAACACGCCAAATCATCAACAGAATCCAACCCTATGCATCTATTCAATCGTTGATTTTATAAGAATGCTTTAAAGTATTTTAAACTTTTACGTGCGTATACGTACAGGTACGTACCAAAAAAAAAAAAAAAATATATATATATATATATATATATATATATATATATATATATATATATATATATATATATATATATATATATATATATATATACACCCATTTGCAAAAACGTTGGCCGCGGATAGATATATAGATAGATATCTGAAATCTAATTAGAATTGCATATGTTGTGTAATATTATAGAAATCCCATGCAAATGTGATCATATGCAATTCTAATTAGACTTTAAGTATCTATCTATCTATCTATCTATCTGCGGCCAACGTTTTTGCAAATGGGTGTATATATATATATATATATATATATATATATATATATATATATATATATATAAAAAAGTTTGTCTCGGAAGCAATGAAGATCAGACAAAGGATATCAAACAACACTAAATCTAATCATTTTGCACAAACGTTTTCGCTTTGCAAAATGATTAGATTTAGTGTTGTTTGATATCCTTTGTCTGATCTTCATTGCTTCCGAGACAAACTTTTTTTATATACAGCTACTTGTGTTATCAACCTACACATTTTTTGATATATATATATATATATATATTTATATATTTAAGCTATTAAAAAATAACAGACCAACCTTTGTGGTGCACTGTCAACATCAGAAAACAGTCTTTTTCTGGTTGAGAAACGGACTGTGCCAAAATCAAAAACTAGCATGATTTTAACGTTATTCAAGCTCTTTCCGGCTGTCTGTAAATGAGGTAATCCCCAAGAGAGAGGGTACTAATTCCGCCCGGAGATTGGAAATTACATGTACACCCGGAACCCGGGAGAACATACCGGAATCCAAAGTTGTCCAAATTCATTGTCATGGACGTTGGGTTCTTTTTACCGTATGAACGGCCCCTTGAAAATCAGAAGACTGGTAATTAGCAACTTGCTGATTGGCTAAGACAAAATATTTGTATTTCATTGAAAAACGTCAGCAAATTAAATATCATTTTGCAAACTATTTCTTTTAAAAAATATTTCGTAAACAGAATATGAAATGTGAAATCAAATTAAATTATATAAACACCGGGAAGAGATTAAAATATTACTAGCGGTGAAAAGAAACACCTCGTAGTTTATAATCATGGAAGTGGCAGGTGTCTACGTATTTCGTGTTTTCTGTACGAATGTATTTCATGATCTTAGTATGTTGTTTTGCGAAGACCTAACCGACTATTTAAAGACAAGTTACAGCGGCTTCTGTGCGTACGTGAATAAGGGACTCCACCGGAAGTTGTTTTACATTGTTTAATAATTAATACTTAGTACTAGTGTTTACAATTCAGGCAAGATCGCCGACGCACGGGAGTGAAAAATTTGATTTTACATACATTCTTATCGCGACATTCTTATGCTTTAATAGGCATTTGTCATTTTTAGGAACGAAAATATTTTGCATTTACGCGCACTTAGTGGATTGCCTGAATTACTTTACTTTCGTCTGGAGATGAAGGATTCTTTCTTCCAATGTTTGTTCCACGTGGTCGTAATATTTCTGCAGAATTTTGCGCTTTTCGTTCAGAGATTTCGTTCTGTAGAAACGTGTCATTTTTCGCAAAGAAGCAATACAGTCAGTGAATAAATTTTATATCCAAAATAGATGCGTTTGAAGTGTATTTTCGTTAATATTGCTTCGAGCAAATGTTTTAAAATGAAGCTTAAGTAAAGATTGAAGTGCAAACATGTCGGGTACGAATCCATGATATTATTGGCGCGCTATTGTTATAACTATTTGTTACACGATAGAGCGAGTGATTGGTGGCAAGTATCGGTGTTATTGGTGGCATGTGTGGATCAAGCTTTCTAGTAATAATACTTTGCAGGGTAGTCTGGATGTACGAAACTGTTAGGACTGAGAGAAGCCAAATTGGGCCTAACATATCCTTAAGTCCACTTTTGATTAGAACTGATTAAAACCCATCAGTCAAGTAAACTACAGACATGAAACTGGTTGCTGTATAGAAAAAGATCAAGCATTGTCACGTTGATGGGTAATTTATGTAAGACTGTTAACTATCATCACTCTAACAGAATGTATGCTTTTTTTACTATATACTGTAAAAAAGTACACATTTGAAATAAACATAACAGATACGGACATTTGGTACATTGTTATAAGGGATAATTCTTACCGTCCATGCCCTTAGGATCCTACATCTGAACCGCATAAGAATAATAATCCAATCATGTTCTCGTAATTTAAAGCTGCTGCTTTTATCTTGCAAACTTGAATTGCTGTACTCACAAGATTTGTATTGACTTTGATATTTTCTGCATTGCGTTTCCTTTCCCTGAATTCATACTGTTTTGCTTTAAAGTGTTCTTGACCACCTGAAAAACGACTGCAAATAACGAACATTACTATACAGTGCAATATCAATGGTGACCATACCTTCCTTTCTTTGACTGTGACACAAAATATTGCTTGCATGGTATACACGTTACTCTGCAACTACACTCTAAAAACATCCTGGTTAAATTTAACCAGGAATGGGTCATATCTCGACCCGGAAATTAATCAATATGCCATCGACGCATTCCTGGTTAAATTAACCAGGAAATCCTGGTAGCCTATTTTGACCTGGAAATCCTGGTTGAAGTTAACCAGGTCATGTTGGTCAAACTGTTACGTAAGGTAACCAGGAACCTGGTAAATAGTATGTTTTGCGCTTTCGCATAATAGCAATAATATCCAGTTGCGGAATTAATTATGCTGCAAAGCAGTTGCTGCTGCGATCTGCTGCGAGATTATTACATTATGAAAAAATTGCTGGTCAAACTAGAAGTTCTTTTATAAATTGGGCTGAAATTAAATGTCTGGAGCTGACGTACTTATCAAAAGGTGAGCACAATTGTTTCATAATACTAAAAATATATTTTAGTAGCATGATAAAATATCAACAAAAGCATACAAAATGCATACATAAACTTCTTAAAATTGTTCGTTGTTCAAACAATAGAAACAGCATGCTTAGCTTTATAACAGTATAAAGTATTTACAGTGAATAGGTAAGTGTTCTCTATCACGCAACAAATACTTTTACAAATGCAACAAAATGAGTTGGCATGTTAACAAGAAAGTTATTTCATTGCAGCCCTCATAGCAATTACAGCAGGCGAAGTCTTTCCTTTCTGTTTATCCTCAATTCCATACAATACTTTTTGTATGAACTCCCATGTAACAGAACACTGCCATGGGTAGTGTACATCTAAGATGTAGAACAGCTTAAAGCAGACATCAACAGCTTTAACTAGGCTGGTCTGTTCCAAACCTTGTCCATCAACTACAACAAAACTTGACTGGAGTGTCTCGAATACCAGTAACCAATATAAACGGTGATCGACTTGCTTCCTCTAGGTACTTCGGCATATTTGTGCCAATCTATATGTAAAAAAAATTACTCTTTTGCCACTACTGTAGTACTACTGCGAGTGTAAACAAACTTTATAATTCCTTATGAATGCCATGGAGTGACTGTTTTTTTATGACTGACCACTTAGCAAAAAGCTAGTTAGACTTACAGGTTGAACATCCAAAAAAGATCTCATTGCTTCATCAATGCTGCATCTTCTTTTATTATTTCTTCCAGTGGGAAGAATACATGGCAGGAGATTGATGGCAATGTTCAACTTCTGTTCATCTATATATATAACAATTTGAAAGATTTCTCAAACTTTAAATATACAGGCAGCTTGAGACTGCTGATATGGTTTTTGATAGGTATTGAAATTTGGGACAAACAGTTGATGGTACAAACATCTTCTACTGCTGACCCCAATTCAAAGTAAGAATATGTAAAAATGAAATGTAAAGCAATTAGTGTGGTAGAGAGGGTAAAATATAACCAATTTGATGCTCACCGGATATTAAATTTTCTCTAATGACATTTAGGTATGATATCCACTTCGTTCCAGATTGTAAATCTGCATATGTCAACATCTTTTCAACAAAAGCAGGTACCAACCTAAGAAAAAGGTTCTCTGCCACATCTGGATAGAGACATTTGAAATCCATTTCAACCTAACAAGAAAGATTAAGGTATAATATCAGTAATAACTGATACCACATTTGAATACATTTTGCACTTGCTCATTTATGTTACATAATAATATATAATTATCGTACTACAGTACATGATTTACCATGCCTGGCGTGTCAAACAGTCTGGGATATTCGAGTATAATGCCACGTATAGGTAATTCTGAGTTCTCCCTAATCCACTTAGCTCGATTAAGAACAGTCCTCTTCATGTATGCATTTACAGTTGAGACTGGTTCAGTATGTTGTTTCAGCCACTCTTTCATTCCTAAGTGCTCATTTTCGGTTGTAGTGGATTCTGCTTAAGGTCGAGAATGAGCAATTAGTAAAATAGCAATTTGATCAAATACACAATTGCCAAGTATAGTTGCTAGCATTTATATATTGATGTACCTGGCAATGCTGTTACTGAACTTATTAGATTTGAAGGTGTAGAGATTTTTGGTTGTCTAATTGGGTTGTGTTCATTGCTGCGTTTTCGTACATTTCTTAGCCTTTCTTCCAGCCAACCAGTGGCGGAGTGTATACCTTTCCCAGGTGTGTACCATGCTTCCTAAAAGGCGCATTTAAGAAAAATGTTAATGGTTATTCTCCATTGATATTAAAAATATTAGACTATAGGTTTAAAAAAGTAGCTTTCTTGTTGAACTTGCTACAAATCTGCCTTAATTGCTTCACAAATTTATGTTCTATATTGGTGATTAATAACACAGTAAGATAGATTCACCAGTACGTTTGTGTACAATACATACAAGCAGCAATATATTACAATACTGATCATACAGGTTGTACTGCTATGCATAAAATATGTACATGCAATTATATTGCTGCTGTGGCTTTCAACTCTATACCTCTTCAATAACTTACATAGCCACAACCTTCGTCATCCTTTAAAACAGGGAATTCTGTTATTATTTCTCTTGCCATGCTGATCTTCACCTCTGCTGTTGGCCTATTTTATAAAAAATACCGCTCCTTTGATTTGACAATATATTTCCTGTTTACATGTTTAAAAAATCTCGTCTACTTGCACTCTGGCCTTATAATTTTTTGGATATCATAAAATATTAACCTGTCTCCATAATTTGCAATAATATCAGCAACAAGTATCTGGACCATTTTGATCCTCTTTTTCCTGCTCAATTCGCCTCTATCAAGTTCTGTCAGGATGGCATCACCTTCTGTACTGCCTTTCAGAATTGATCTGACATTCTTAATGGAATAAACATAGTACATTGTAAAGAATTATGACCAAATTAGAAGTAAGAGTAATAGTGTAAACTTAAAATGCTAGTTTCCACTTACAAAGTCATGCTTGGATTTTTTAACATGTCGAGCGCAGTTTGTGTCTCCAAGTATTTCGGTATTTAAGGTTACATTTAGAGGTCTCTTGGTGGTTTGCAGTTTCGTGTCATCTCCTCTTTTGGAAGTTGAAGGAGTTGAAGATGCCAAAACAACACATTCTGTGCCCCCCTTTCAGCAGTCTAAAATGATAAATATATCTATTAGTATATCAAGGGAGCCAGTGTGAATTTCGTCATGCCCATAGAATGTAACAATAATAATTTTTAATGGATGAATAATAATAACAATCCTTTTGGAAATGTTATATTACTAGTGTATCATTTCAATCGATCAATCACCTCTTCAGTATATATTGTCTTCCATCCTGGGGTATAGTACCTTTGTCATAATTTTTTTAGTTATGCAACGCAACTTCTCTTGTAAAAAATGTTAGCTTTCCTGTCTCAGACCTCTCAAACAACTGCGCAATGCCTAACATGCACGAAATAATGTAATATCCTAGAGGGAACTATATTTTGCTTAAGAAAATTGGATGGTTGAGACTCTTAAAAACTTGTGTGACGTACGTCAATTAAGTTGTTTGCAAGAATTTCCAAAACTGACAAGAATGGACCACTTGCATAATAGACCAACTTTTGATTCAGGTGACAAAAAGGGAATTTCCGAAAAGTGCATACAAAACTTGTCAAGTTTGACTGTGAAATATTGTAAAGTGCCGAAGATATAGCCGTGCAAAGTTAGCGAATTTTGTATACTTTTGTATTACGGCCGGACGTGTGTAGTATTAGTTACACGCTTCCAGTCGTAGTAAAAAAGTATACAGAATTGGCAACTTTGGATGGCTATATATTCCGTACTACTTGAGATTTTGCAACCAAACTTGGCAATTTTACTAATTTTGGTATGCTCTTTTTAGCTGTGGTTATTTATTTCCTGCTTGTCACCTGATCTGAAGTTGGCCTATTATGCAAGTGGTCCATTTCCAAAAGAAGTTACGTTTTGGTTAAAATTATGACATAGATACTTCAGTGAATTCTGTGACGAAGAGCAACATAGGAGTGTTGGTCACCCTCGTTGTAAGACTTGGATGCATGATACGGGTAATAATCATATAAGTTGTCAACGGAGACCATAGACCATGAAGTTGCATGTGGTTGGTGAATAACATATGTGTGTGTGTGTCTGTCATATCGGATGGTAAGCCATTCCTCCGTAATTAGCTTAACACTGCTGTTTTCTGTGACCATGACATAAATAATTTTCTGAAATACAGGCAAATAATCAGACTTCCCAGTTACAACTAGGAGGTTTTTGCAGTATTTGATACCATGAACTATTGACCATTTGGCAACGTAAACTTCTTCGAATAAACGGATCCCTAATGTTCTGCTTAAAAACTCTGCTCTCTCTAATGAAGCAACAATTTCTATTGATCCAGGACCTATTTCAACATCCCTTTCGACCAGGTCTTTGCCACTGATAATGTTATAACACAGATACATTTGTTGTCTAGAGCACAATGTTTTCAAAATGTTTCTGTAGTTGCAAACAATATGGCCTAACCGCTTGAAAAAACGGTGTTTGGCCTCAAAACGCATAGTCCAATAGTGTAATAACGGACCAAGCAAACGCATTTGTTCCGGGTAGTGTGTCATAAAGTGGTGTTTAGGTTTTAGAGTACGACCTGGGAACAAATCCAAAAAATGCTCATGGTGATCTTTGATTAAATGTTTTAAAAAGAATGTCTCTTCAGTGGTGACTTGAGGAGAAAAGATAAAATCCATGCATTCTAATAGTAGAAGTAGAAGCTCCAAGTGTTGGTGTCCTTCAGGTACTTTATCACCAATCATCAGCGGCAGGTACCGAATAAGGCACCACATCTGTGACGCCGTCTGTCCCGATGCACTATCTGGGTTTTGCAGTTTGTTGATAGTTATTGACGATGGTTTGTTCCTTGAATCTGTAGTGGCATAGTCGAAACTAGTAATTCTACTGTTTAGTAAATCCAAATCGAATAGACCTTCCCCAATTAGATTTGCCAAAACAAGGTGGACCTCTACACCACACACGCCTTCTAACAAATCATGCATGACATCAGGTGCATAGTTTGTAGTAATGTGGAAGTGTTGAATTTCGTTTAAAAGACAAGGTGCTTTCACGCCTGTAGCACCTGGATCGTTTATATGTAAGTCTTCTTCATAGTTTTCAACATTCCGAAGCTGGTTAGGACGTGCAGTTGGGCTGGTTTGCATTTCATTTCTATGCATTTTGCAATGTCTACAGTAATGATTGCTGACAAAACTTTCGACAAAACCAAGTATTCCGTTCACCCCTAAGTTGTCACCTGTAAGCTGTGCAACACTAACACGTACAACGCCTTTAAAATCTTCAGAATCAATGTATAGACCTTCTCGCTCGAGTAAGGTGATGTCATCGACAACTGGTTTCAAGATGGGATCAAATCCGTACTGCTTCACATCAGCAGCATTGTATAATGTAATCAAAAAACAATTACAGAGGGATGAACGAAACCTTGGAGGAATATTGAGTAGGGTACAATATATAACGCCTATTTTATGCAATCCGGCCTTGGAGCCAAGTGGATTTGCAATCTCGCACTCATCTACATACAGCAGCAATCTGATATTCTTTGGATCTGCAAAAAAAATTTGCTCTCTGCAAAAGAGTCCATCATGGAAGTCTCGCATTACACCATCGGTGCTTGGATGATATTGTAAAATTGCCCTCATGAAACCCTTACTTTCCAAGACACATTTCAAGAGCTCATAGATTGGAACGTACTGAAATGTTAAATGCTTGGCAATTTGGTCGACATGGCCTGTTTCAGGGTTGTTTCGAGGATAATATGCAATACCCAATGGGATCTCGCGCGGCTTGACATAATAACCACTCTCACAAAAATATTTTTGTTGTTGGTGTGCAGTTTCCAAGCGTTCAAAAGGATTTTGAAGTTGATCAAATTCATGAAGAAGATTCTTTACTAATCTCATCATTGATATTTTGTCCCTGTAAAAATTGCTCAGTTTTTGCTTTCAATGAACCGATAACATCGGAAAACAAACTTGAAGTCTCGGAAACAACATGGTCAACAGTTGACTGCACAGTGCTACTTGATGCTTTCATTTTTGCAAGAAAAATTGCAGCTGTCTTTGTAACATCTTGTGCATAGTCAAGTTGTCTTTGACCTTCGACTGGAGCAGCGGGTATTGGGTTCGGTATTTCAATACCATTAATATTATTATTAAGATTTAGATCAACAGGATCGACATCATCATCGTCATTTGCTCCTCCCGCCATATCTCCATGTTGATTTTCAATATGTTTAGTAAGAGCCGCCGAGTATCGAAATGTTCGCATACAGCCATTTTGGCCACAGGTAATAGGGCACGTAAACATCCGCCCGACCAAAAGGGCATGCTCATTTTTAAGGTGCCAAATCAATCCTCTAGAATTTTCCGAAACAGGCTGGTTGCATTTGGAACACGTGTACCGTGGCATGTCACTATAGAATGACAATATCTTTCGTTATAGAATTTCTCGAAGTAAGTTGTAAGGGACAGAGGTTAACGTTGCCTAATGCGGCATATGACAATGCGTGGACATATGACAGATTTAAATAGTACTGATCACTGATTAGTAAATAGGTAGCGTCCGAAATGATAAACACACTCACCTGATATGAAACAGGTGAGATTTTGTTTGTCGCCTTCCCACCCCATCCCTCCGCCTCTACGCATTAGAAAACCCCTGCCTGTGTATAATGACCACTACCCATTTTTTTATTATCTTATTTCATGCCAATTCTTGAAAAACATCGTTATGCACGTTAATAGTTCTTAGTCACAGAATTCATCAATGCCAAAAATGCTGCTCCCAAAATATTTCTTTCATCTATTATTTTAATAGACAAGTGAGTGAAGTGAAAAAGTCTTTCAAAGATTGCAGAAAATCAGGCTCTCTAGTACACGGTGGTAGTATGGGCTATTTTTTTTTCTACAAAGCGAAGAAAAGAAATCGACCCGGAAAGAGTTCGACAATGGCCCGTTTGATTGGCTAGATTGTGATTGTGCTATGACATACAAGGTTAACTAAAATTCTTCAACTACAGAAATCGATTCCTTAAAACAAAACTTGTCAAATAGCTAATTTCGTTTAATTATGAAATATGCATTGGAAAATATATTGCTAGGGAAAATACCTGAAGTTCTTGTAATTTTTTCTGCAGCTTGATGCGTTGCCCAACTGGCAAGTTCATTTCTTTTAAAACGCTTTCGTTAAGTAACATAAACGCTTCTTCGTCTATCATATTTTCTGCCAAAAAGGTATTTTAAGGCGTTATTAAAAGTCGTGAAGACAACACTGAGATAGCTTTTACGCTTTCGCCGTACAAATATATCAATTTCGTCTGAATGTCAATATTTAAGTTGTTTTTTGGCGACTTGGTACGGTAGAAAGCCATAATTTGACGCTTAATATATCTTTAGCTTTGACATTGTTTTCTTTCTAGATATTCTGGCAATTGAAATTGAATATCGACAGAAACAAATCTCTAGACTTCAAATATACCAATTAGTTTCGAAAACGTTCATCCTTCTAGCCTCTTTCGTACAAATATATTTATTACTTTAGGTATTTTTTACAGTGTTAAAACTTCAAAGTTTCGAAAAACGTATCGGGCTTTGTTATATTTTTTCGCTTAAAACTCGCTTATACATATGAAATATCGACAGAAACTAAACACTAACCTTCCAATATATCAGTCAATGATGAGAGATTCCATTCCTCGAGCTTTCCTCGTACAAAAATGTCCATTTTATGTCTTTTACGACTACGAATATGATTGATATATCCACTGGCGCTGCGAAGCAGTCGTCAATAGCAAATTGGCGGGAAAAAGAAAAAAGGCTATAGGTCCCCCAAGACCTGAATTTTGTATTTGAAAAGCATACCTCATTTCACTGATCTCATTATATTATGATTACATCATTTCAAAACTAAAAGCAGAGCGGAAAATACCGGAAATCAAATCAATCATGTCCATGGCACAGAATACCTAACAGAAGTGGAACTCCTGTACTTTTTTCGTAAGTGTGATTCGTCATGATTCGTCACTTAGCAAGTGCATTTTTTTGAGGTAGTCACCCCCCTGCCAATGTCTAAAATCAACGCATATTTAGTATTAGCAGGGGGGTGACAGCCTCAAAAAAATGCACTTGCTAAGTGACGAATCATGACGAATCACACTTACGAAAAATAGTATAGAGTTCCACTTCTGTTAGGTATTCTGTGTCCATGGCATCATGTCCCATCCCAGTGAACTCAGTTTTTCACCACCCACATTTGTAGCAACTAGCAAGGCAACTAAATAAGCTGCAATATAATGGCTTTAAAAGCGTCATCATTTATAAAAGTTTTCAGAGATCCTATATTGGTGAGAGTATGTTTTGCAATTTTGTTACTTTTATAAGTTTCACTATTTTATTTAGTAAATTAGTTGAAGTTTTGAAGGCTTAATATTCGTGCATAAACATGTGGATTTGCAGTCTCAATCACCGTAATTCATTTATTTGTTCAATAGGCCTTTACTGGAAGCTTATTAGAATCGGGGAGGGGCGGGGTGCAAAATGTAGGGAGAGTGCTTTCTTAATTATCCGAAACTGGGTACTGTAAATGCACCAATCCACCCATTATGAAAAGCAGAACAGTAATCGATTTCTATCCTGAGATTGTATAGAAATACTCTTTGTATTCATTAAATTTGTAATCCATATACTTATTTATAAAAAACAAAAGTGCATTTTGTGTAATACAATATTCAATCAGCATTTCATTATCAATTATAGTCCCATGAAAATATATTTATATATTGGTTTATATATTGATGCAAAGAATGTATCATCAAATTGATTTTTCACTGACTTTTTCTAAAATGTAAACCCTTGGAATTATTTCCCTTTTATTAGAATTTTTGGAGGTAAATCTGAGAAATGCAGTGCCTGTATGGGATGTATATAGAATATGTAAATATATACATAATATATCTAATTGGACTGCTTATAGGGAATATTGGCCAGGAATAGTAATAGCTGTAGTTAGGCTCAAATACCCCCACTCAATTCTTTCATTGTGGTGGCATCCTTGTTTTAAAAAAATGGCGTGCAGCCTATTAGCATGTTCCCTCTGTCCTGACCAGTACCTCTGCCAGTACCTGCCTTGGCTACCCATATACATTGTCTTTTCAACAAGATGTGCTGTTCTTGAGATCTGCAATATGTAGGCTGACTTGTTTTTTTAATTAAACTATGTACAATTAGTTTCTGGTAATTATCTTGTTATTTTATTCTAATTATTCAAGATTTTTAATTAATATAAGGCATAGTGTGGCCATTAAGTGTTAAAGTCAGAGGTGTAATCAGATTTAAATGATATCTCCTAAAATTAAGTATGAAAACATAATAATTGATTCAAATGCTATAAGCCTACAAATTCTTGCTGAGCATGATTCTACATGTTATATATACAAATTAAGTGAATAGTTTATACCCTCAGAGGAAAGGTCTATTATTCCAAGTTTAATAGCATGAATATGCTTTAGATAAATATATTGCAGTACAAAAGGAAGGAATATAGCAGTACAAAAGGAGGGAATTGGGCCTTTCTAAAGGTAAAACAGTAGGGAAAAGCCCCTTTCTGTCAAAATTGTAACATTATTATGTAGTGTCCTGGGGGGGAATTATTTGCCACTTTAACCTCTATAACCCTTTCCATCTGTTTCATGATTTCTTAGCAACTTTTTAATGGTTAAGTACAAATGTGCATACAGTTTCTATTGTATGGTAGGCTATACATACAAACTTCACACCTTAAACAATAACCTGTCCTGTAATTTAATAGTTTGTAAGGCTAAAAGCTATATTTTATGTCTTCTATGTTGAGATTCCTTTTCTAATTCAGTTAGGATATTGCTTTTTGGTTGGCTTTTTATTCAACGCAATAAAATGTGTGCCATCAAGAAGTCAGCAAATACAACAGCTATCCCCACGTCTGAGCAGAAATGGTTTAAAACCAAGCAATGAATTTTTCTCATCTATCAACTACCGATATCAACAAAGGATGGCGAGATAGCCATGGCTAAATAGACTTATTAAGCGAGAAACTAATTTTTCGCCACTCTTCGCCGGCATTTGAATGCAATGTTTTATCAGTATTATCTGGTATTAACGTCAAAGCTGTTTTGTGACACGGAAAAAGTTTCTTCGTGAAAACCTCTCTTCTTTCCTTTGTTTCTAAAGTGAGGTATTCGAAGAAATACAGGCCACTATATCTCTCCATTTAGGCTAAAATTAACAGCCGCCATTTTGTATTTTCGCTTCACCAGGAAACCTGGTCAGTCGGGTTTTTGTTTGTTCTACCAGGAAAATGACCAGAATCCTGGTTGACTGAAATTTATTTGACCCATACGTGGTCAAAAATTTTTGACCAGGATATTTTAACCAGGTTGTTTTTAGAGTGTATCATTAAGAATTTCGACAACTATGTCTTGATGACATATTTCAAGAAGATTTGAAAACTCTTTCAAAGATTCTGCACTAACATTACTCTTGTTGTCAGCTTTTGATTTTCCTTTGGATTCCACGGCAAGATTTTCTAGCATCAATAACATGCGATTGACATCGGTTTGTATTTTGTTGAGTTGGGAAATTTCCTCTTTGTCTTCATTTGCAATGGAAAACACGGAGTCTGCCAAAAACATGGAAAAGACGGTATAGAAAGTATAAATGTTTGGAAAACACGGAGTCAACGTAAATTATACATATATTCATAAATGAAGGATCATTTACAAGTCTATACTAATTTTTTATACCACAGTAATAGTATAAAAGAAAGAATACACAATAACAAAAGATTATAGCTATAATGCTTCTTGCTCAAAGTCATGCAGAGAATTATTGTTGTAACTACATTACGTGTCCTTATATCACCTTAAAACCCGCTGGAACAAAACATTTAATATTAGAATACAACAATCGACAATATTGTTTATGGTTACGCCCACATTATTTTGTTATAATGCGACTTAATAAGTTTTAAATAAAGCTCATTCCAAATGTCTCTGTTAAAAAAACTTTATGCACTGGCAATAAAAGATTGCACATATTCTGAGTAAGAAATTGACTGTGATCGGATCAATGTTTTTCGTCTTTCATAGTGTCCGCCTTTGTTAAGGCTGAGTTGTAGTGGATGAACACACGTATTTGACGGTAGAAATCCTCTATAAATGGCTTCATTTGGAATGCTTTCACCGCTTCAAATGGCAGCTTGCGGTTCTTTGTTGCACATGTCATACATTAATTTTTGTTCAGCCAGTCTGCTGCTTTTCTGAACACTATCCTAATTTCGCATAATCATGAAAATGCGCCCCAAATATAAAATGTTTTGGGGTTTTGAGGAAGTTGCTTGCATATTGTGCTGTACATTTAACTAAGTGCGTGAGAATTTTTATTTTTTCCTGGTGTAAATAAATACAAACAAACTCTGTTTTAAGGCCCGTTCACACACGATCCAACTTTGTCGGATGCAATTCACGTTTGACGTATGGAATTTAGTTTGTTATTGATAAAGCAGTTCTGCATTAGTTTTAGTTGATTTGCTGCCTGTATATACTTTGCAAAACAACAGACTATAAAACATCCATCAGAAGTGAATTGGATCTGACAAAATTGGATTGTGTGAACAGACCTTTACTGATGCGGATACAATATATGTCTAGGATATGTCAGTTTATCAAAATTTTAGGTTTAAACACTGCAATTTGAGTTTCGTTGCGGTTTGTTTCTCAAAGCATTCGTCAAGATGACTTATTTGTGTGATTTTTATCATTCATGATTTTCATCTTTCTGCATTTTTAAAACAGAAACATTGGGTTTCCAGTTTCATCTTTGCCTGAAGGACGCGGTCTTAGTTACAACTTATACAACATTATATTGTCCACACACACACACACACACACACACACAATACAAGCAACAGGGCTTGTTTTTGAAATGCCTTTTGGAAAGGATTTTTTATTGCCACATTGACTGCATACCAAGGTTTATTCAAAATCCTGATATAAACTTTCTATAAATTTTATAACGTCATTACATCCGAAAATATGGGTCGATATGACTCGTTTGAATAAAATTTCGGAGTATTAAGTATCGGAAGAAAAAAACAATTATTTTAGAAACCAAAGGCATTTTTAATTTAAAACACCCAGGAAAGATGAGAAATTTTTTTAATATTCTAATTGCTTTGCAATGCAATAAAAATCCCTTTCCTCTAGGTTTCATTACGCTTCATACAGCAACTAGTCAAGTTCATTACCATATAGCTACCTTGTTTTTCCAATGATTAAATTAAGATTCGTTGGAAATAAAGACCACTTAGTGTTGTGGTAAAGCTAGAGAGCTTTCTCTTCGACATATTCTGACCTTACCATCGAGCATTCGTAGAAATACGGAGTGATTTCTTAAAGGTCGTGGTACAAAATAGCCTCAATGCCAAAAGTGCAGGACAACTACATTTAAGCAATGCCTAAATTAGAAAAATGGATCCAATGGATTTACGAAGTCTTATTGTTGGATTGTGATGCGTATGCGATCAAAACTATGGCATCCTTCACTGAGCAATTTTAGAATATTGGAATGGTCATTTGCCATTTGTCATATCGTTATCGAAATGGACGCGTTAAAAATCCTGATTTTTATGTACATGTCAATGAAATGTGAGGAATATTTTATTACGAAACATTGAAACGTGATTGTTTAGGATTACGCTTGTTATGCGTTTTATATAAGATCCTCAAAATACCCCTTCCTGTACAGTGAGCGGCGTCCTCTACCACCTGAAGTCTATCTTGGAACGCTATTGTCTAAAACGATTGTTTTAATAACTATCAATATGTGACCGTCGTCTTTCCTCACTTCGGGGATTTTGTATCTGTCCTGTATTCAGAATGAGCTAATTCAGCAGGATGGTTATCTTCAAAGAGACCGTTTGTCACGCTGTTTGAACGCTTCTTCTGAACGTTTATATGAAGTTTAGCAGCTACGATATACACATGTCTTAAACTGTGATTCAATTGCATTGTTCCTGGACAATACCAACATACGAACGTTACCTCCGGTCTAAGTCTATCGAAATATCAAAATCGAAGTATTTGCCTTTTCTTGAGAAAAGATTGAGAAGATTTACCATGAAGGAATTTGACATTCTTCTATGACAACAAATTATTAAAGACATTGTCGAATGTAACTGTAGTATGAAGCTAACTGATTATGCGGAAACATTTTCCAAGATGGAAACACAAGGATTTGAGTCGTCCATTATTGTATGTGTTGTAACTGTGCGGGTGTTGCTACCTACGGATTACCTTCAATTGCTACTGGAATTACCTAAATCTTTTATTGACACTGGACTTACCACAACCATCATTGACACTCGAATAACCACAACCTTTAATTGAAACAAGAATTATCGCAACCTTCAATTGACACTGAAATTATCACAACCTTCAATTGACACTGGAATAACCACAACCTTTTATTGACACTAGAATAACCACAACCTTCAATTGACACTGGAATAACCACAAACTTTATTTGACACTGAGATTACCTCAACCCTTCAATTGACACCGAGATTACCACAACCCCTTCAATTGACACTGGAATAACCACAACCCTTCAATTGACACTGGAATAACCACAACCTTTTATTGACACTGGAATAACAACAACCCTTCAATTGACACTGGAATAACCACAACCCTTCAATTGACACTGGAATGACCACAACCTTCAATTGACACTGGAATAACCACAACCTTCAATTGACACTAAGATTACCAGAACCCCTTCAATTGACACCGAGATTACCACAACCCCTTCAATTGACACTGGAATAACCACAACCCTTCAATTGACACTGGTATTCAACTATTATGCAGCACAGAGCCTTCCACGTGCTAGAACAACACCATTTCATCAAGGAATGAGTTCATCTGTGGAACAGAACGCACGTCTATACCACAACACAAGGTCACACGAAATTCTAAAATCTTTTATCTTGAAACCTTCAGGCTTTCTCAGATTGCTTCCTCAAAATTGGTGGTGATGACCTCAAAATTTGACCTGAGAGTGTCCTCATTAGGAACTCGTTAGAAGGTTGAAATCCCTTCTCCAAAAGCTGTGCACTTCAAATCACAGCTGGTGGGATGTCTGTCAACCCTACAAAACGTGGGAAGTTGTTTTTGTTATTCCCATCATCCATCTCTTTTTTCCTCTCTTGCCCTTTCTTCATTCCGCTATCCATACGAATGTGTGTGATTAAATTATTTTGAAAATGCTTTGAGAAACAAAATTTCCAATATAAATATTTTTTATATGAATTTACATGTCCTTCAAGCCAATGTATCTGCATCTTTAAAACAGTTGCGAACGTTTCTATTGCCATATTTTGCTTTACATTTTTGTATCAATTGGTTGAATTTTGTCCTATTGTTACTTGTTATTGTTTACCTAATGATTCAGGCTGTTAAACTCGTGCACATTATTATACAAGCAATTTCCACAAAGCTGGTTTGTCGTATTCCTTCCACTCGTTTTCTAGGCGCCGGAAATGATATGATATGAAAATCATCCTACATAATAGATTTTAGTTAAAAATAGCAAGTGTCCCAACTACTTTTGAAAATGATTCCCTGAAAGCATAGACAACAATATTGATTAAATTAAGGTGTTTACTCGAATTACACCTATTAAAAGTAAAATGGTAAATGGTCTTTATTACACATATTAATAGCAGTTCCGCTAAATTATTGATGTGTTTGCACTTTTGAGAATATTGCATTAATTAATGTTAAAAAATATGCGTATGCCTAGAGCATGAAACATTATACTAATAGAACTTTATAACTATTAAGATATACATATATGCAATCGAGTGATCATCAAGACATTAATAAACCTAAAGTATATAAATCATCTAATTCTATAGGAAGTACAAAATAAGTTTATAATATTTACAAATTTAAACTACTATTATATCTATTAATTGCATATACTAGTGGACTACGACTGAATCTTTCAGTTTTACATGAGAAATTGTAGATCCGCACATGGATCTAGCATTGAAAAGCAAGAATTTTGGCAGTGTTCTCACTCCAATACTTGTAGTTTTTATGACTGGAACCTCAACTAAATTATCTAAATTCCGTTTTCTAGTATTTATCAATGGGAGTTTGCGATTGCGAAAACCAATATCGGGTACTTTTCATTGAGGTATTCATGATAGAGTTTGTTAATAATTAATGAATAATGAATTTTGAATTTCGAAGAAAGCCACATAATGGACGTTGGTACAGACTATATAAGTGTGCAAAGTTTTAAGCTTCTGTGATAAAATCCTGCAAAATTAGCTTGTTTCAAGCATTGCTGACTGCTCTCAAATTACAAAGCTGAGAAAATCCCATGTGAAAGCTTCCATTTGATAAATGTATCTCAAAGAAGGTCTCAATAGGCTACTCTTTCATAAGTTACTTTTTCTCTCTCTTCTGTCTCGTCAATATATTTTTTCTTAGATGCCTTAATGTTTTTCTCCTTTTTTTTTGTTGCATCTTTGACCTTTGGCCGGAGAAAGTTGTTTTCTTCGGAGATCACAGTTTCGGGCACGTTCAAATGTAAATACTCCTGGTTTTAATATCCACGTCCTCAAGGGTCTTCAAGGAACCAGGCGCGAGACACTCTTTGGCGAGTCCGTTTAAAATCTAAAATTTCGTTCACAGCTGAAATCCATGCACCCTGGCGCAACCATCGACACATGAACTAGCCGCACTCTCTTCTCACAGTTGAAGACGTGATTTATTAGCGCGTTCCAGCTTTGCTTGCGCCTCGCTCATCTCTTTAGCAGTATCGATGGCCTCGTTCACTATCTTAGGCCCCCGGTTCCAAACGAACTCAGCAAGGTCTGTCTTACTCTCTTCTTACCATTTAGCCGCCAATGCCATCAGTTACAGACGTGTCTTATTTTTTTTGTTCTGTATTATGTGGACAACGTCAACCATGTACACGACCAGTCGTTCTCGTTTTTTGCGCTTGCAAAACTTTCCTGCCTTTTTTACATTATTTTACGCCCCCCCCCCGTAAATTGAGTATACTTTTCCTTAAAGGAGCAGTGTCATCGTGTGCGCATCTTTTCTGCGCACGTGAACTTGAAAAACTACTGCCGTAGTTTTTCAAGTTTTCCAGTCCAATATGGCGGATTCGCGAAGAGGCTTGCACGGTGGCAAACGAAATAATTGCGGCCGGAAAAGGAAGTACGAAGGACGAAATGCACAGAAAAATTGGGACAGAGAACACAGAAGAATATTTGTATCCTTGACGATATTTAATTCTTGGAAAGATGCCAAAAGTATTGCAGGATATGAGTTACGTAGTGACAGTGAATTTGCAGCACATCTACTTTCACTGGAATATCGAAGAAGGTAGGCATAAATATAATAGCCATTATAGCGCGTATAATAGTCATTATAGCCCGGATAATAGCCATTAAGCTTTAAATGCCCTGTTCGATTAATGCGCAGATTATCATTATTATACAGGTCTGATGAAACAAGGGGATACATTCAGCCAGCTGAATGCCCTGAACCAAGTTCGAACATTATAAATATAAACACAATAGGTAGGGTTTTGAGATGTCATAGTTTTTATACTGCAAACAGACGATTAATCTTCAACGTATAGTTGTATATATTTAGGCCAAAACGTAATATCAACACCGATAAAGAAGACAATGAAGGATGTATTGTATAAACTTCCCGCAATATGCGAGTCTCCCATTCTGGCGGGAAAACATGAGGGAACAGAAGAAAATGATGAAGTGGAGAATACTCAACGTTTTCAAGAGGTTGAGATGGCAACACACGATGAATGGTATAGTAATGAAGGCCTGAAATAAGTGAAAATTAACTTTACTTACTGTTACTATTTATATATCACAATACCCGATACAACATTTATAACACTTTTATCTGTTGCCTTATGCAATCTAGCATTGGATATTCTCCAATCCATGAGTCATTTGTATCTGTTGGGGGAAACACTTCATTGTTTACAGATGATGAGGGTGATGCATCGGAAGAAAATTCTGATGAAAATAACAGGTATATAATTTATTTCCTTCGTCTAAATTTGTCTCTTCATTTCACCAAAATGCACGAGAATTGTTTCAGATCTTAAAATATATAATTCATTTGCTTTTAGATCAAGCAGGGTCAAAAAATAATTTCTCTCTAAAAATGGTATTATTAAATATTTTGCAGACAACATGACATTTCCTATTCAGCCCTGCAATATTTGAATGCTGACAGGGATCTAGAAAGTGATGATTCAGAGACAAGCAGGTACAGTATGTATTCACTGCAAAAAATCGAAGTCTACTCTAGCATAGTTTTCTTATTACTGTAAGATTATTTTCCTAATTCTTATAAGAAATTATTTCTTGCCAAGAAATATCTTATATTAATCAGAATTATATTCTTGTATCATAAAATTACATTCTTGCAGTAAGAAAAAGGTGCATCACAACATTGTGGTTGACATGTTAAAATAGATTAAATTTTATAATTCTCAATTATCATAAATTATGCAGCCTGTGTTACCATAAACTCTTGTGGGTATTGACATGATTTATGATATCTCTCTTATAGTCTGGAAGATATCGATTCAATCATTAATAATTCAACTGCTTATTGTGAAGATGAAAGTGAAGATAGTTTAGAGGAAGATATGTAAGCAATTATGTGAAATGCTTTATCATAATGAGGGTATTTATATGAGATACAAAAAATCATATGTAACAGCAAATTTTAATTTGTGTGCTACAAAAAGAAAATTCTCTTATTATAAATAAATATTCAATAAACGATCAAACAAACATTTTACATGGTGATACTGAGACACTGAGTAACTATAGAAAGCTATTTTTATTTTCTGATAGGCATATTGACTATGAAGATGAGCATGACTACAATGGTGGGGATTTAAGTAGTGATGATGAAGTACTGTCAAGTTTGGAACAGCAGACATCTCAAAACTTTCACAATATGGTCACTACAGAAGTTGCATACGGTCCACACAAAAAACTGAGCAGAGGTGACGAGATATGCATGCTAAAACAAGAGTACAAAACAGTAACTGAAAGGAAGTTCATATGCTCGCTTGATTTGCTGTTAGAAGTGTTTCAAAGTCGTTGCCAAATACCTGGCTGTGTTCAAAGTCCTACAGTAAATCATCATTTTAATGGAACAACTTTAATTGTGAGTTGTTCCTGCTCATCAGGTCACAAGTACAGATTTACCTCATCACATAATATTAATGGGATATATGCCAATAACATTCAGGCTGCAGCATCACTTTTGTGTTCCGGAAACAGTTTTGCTAAAATTCAACGTCTTTCTAAGTTCTTTGGTTTGGCATTCTTGTCAAAATCAACTTATTATAGACTTCAACGGGTTTACCTAATTCCTACGATCAATGAATGGTGGTGCTGGATGAGAAAACAACTCCTTCACGAATTATCAGGGGAAGATGTTGTAGTGGGAGGCGATGGTCAGTGCGACTCACCTGGATACAATGCAAAAAACTTATGCTATTTTATGGCTGATCTGAAAACCAATTATATCATTGACATCCAAATCCTAGACAAAAGACATGTCAAGCTGGTATCAAATAATATGGAAAGAGAGGCTGCTCAGAGAGGATTGGAGAGCTTGTGTCAGGACATTAAAGTGGTTGAATTTGTAACTGACGCATCATCATCTGTGAAAATATTGCTTGGTGGGTATATAGCTGGGTAACTCGGCTCCATATAAGCAAGCCGGGCCCTAGGAACAGACAATGCTTGCCTTAGTATTTTCCTTCGTGGCCGATTTTCTGTATGGCAATTCATATATCATTTTAATATTTCGTTGCAGAAACACAATTTAAAGACATTGTGCATGGCCTTGATGTTTGGCACAAGGCCAAAAGTATCAAGAAGTGTCTGACAAAGGTACTGTATATATTTTTTATCAACTGTGCTACAAAGGTTCTGTTTAATTTGTATTTTTATATTCCTACTTGTAATTCTTCTTGAGGGTTTTTGTTTTACCCAGATTGGTAAGCCTAAAGCAATGCAAAAAATTAGAGATTGGTCCGCTCATATTGTGCGACACTTTTGGTACTGCTCAAGTTCGTGTGGAGGAAATGAAACATCTCATGAGGAAGCTCTTAGAGCAATGAAGGTAGCTATCTAATTCCAGACTTTCTCAATTGAAATAGTTTAAATTATATTAGATAGCAAAATCACCAAAAAATTGACATTGTATAAGACAGTTAATATATAATTCTATATTTTCAGGATAAGTGGATTGCATTACTACACCATGTCTGCAATGAGCATGATTGGATAGGTGGATCTTGTGACCATGAAGATGGTGAACACGACACAAGCTTGCCATGGTTTGATAACAGAGATGCAGACTTTATTGAACTTCAAAAAGTCATTTTAAATCCTGACCTGCTTGCAAGCTTCAAGTACTACACACAATTCCGGTAATTATATTGTATCATTAGATCAATCACCACCAGATGACAATAAATATTCACCATTTATTTTGAGACAAATGATTAACCAACTAATGTCCCCTGTCCTCTCCCACCCCTCCTCGCGAAATTTCAAACCGTTTTTTTACTTTTACAGGCATACAGGCTCCATAGAATGTGCAAACAGTCTGAGCTTAGTATATACTCCAAAAAGAATGCCATTCAGGTTTGCCTCTACTACATGTTCAAGCATTAATCATGTCTTGTCTATCTTAGGACAGTTCTAAAATAATATATGTATGATGGCATCTAGTTACAGAGCATTCAAGGCAAGAAAGCAATTGACAGCTATAGATTGGAACTTTCACATTAATCTCCCACAAGCTAAGAACAAGAGTACTGGAGATGTGATGGTCACACGGAAATACAACCCTAGAACAAGAAAATGGGATGTAAAGGTTGTGAAAGTGGAAAAGGGCTATGACTACATCCCATTACTAATTGCAAAGGTTTTCAGAAGCAGAGAAGATGATAATGACAGTGTCACACGAAGTGTGCCTCTGAATGAAAGTGACCCTGGCCTTATTGCCCAAACAATTGCACACATAGTTCCACCTCCCACAAAAGAAATTCCTAAAAGAAGTAGATTTGAACAGAAGAAATAAGTATCATTAACTGTTGCTATAAATAAATTGTATAATAGTAAACATAAAAGCTTGTTCATGCATGCAATGTCTTAATCAATGTTCTCTATAACCCATATACACTCCTGTAATGGATGGGTACTGTTTTCGTATTTTCAATACTACGCAAGATGGACAAACCCTCCTGTTCCCTTTTCCTAGATGCCCATACCGTGCCAGAATAAATTGTCTATATGCCGCTTTTCTAAAGGCTCGTGTACTATTATCCTCTCGATCATTCCTTATGTCGCTGGAATTCCGTATGCACAGCTGTAAGACATCAGGATCAAGACACAATTTTTCAAACCTTGATGTCAACGATATGCAGCTCTTTAGTTTACAACATCGATTTTCGATTTCTTGTGGCATGGGTTGACAATATCCACATTTGCACAAATCTGGCCCTTGTGCAGAGGGTTGGTTTTGAGGCAGATCAGGAGTATTTGGTTGCTCAGTTTCCTCTTCAGACTGTGCTCCAAATTCACCCATGTCTTCATCCTCTTCCACAAGATCATCATCCATAATAAGCAATGTATGAATATAATCCATGCTTCCGATGCCTCGTCTAAGACTGCGAATAGCCAATTTTCGAACCATATCTTCATCCAGTGTGGCTACAAAGTCCTAGGGCAAATTAAAGCCTTTATCCTAACCCTCGGTGTAGTTAGTTTTAAGAACTAGTTTGAAAAATTGATTGGACATTGTTTACATATATTACCAAAACTATATTAATCTTGACCAACGCAATCAGTATATATCAGTAATTGAATAAAAATAAGTTATTAAAAATCCTTATTTTCTTTTTCTCTTTGTATTTCCTCTGTCTCTCTTGGCTCGTGAGTGAGGCGAAACCCTTGCTGATTCATACGTCTAACTTTACTGTTCGTTGGTTTCCCCCGACTTTCACCTTCATAGTTTGCTGCCGCTTTCTGAAACAACGCCATATATTAGAAAAGTGAAGAAATTGTAAAACAGAAAAATAATTTATTTCAAGCTTACCTTATTCTTGCAAGGTTTAGCACGAGTGCCGCATTTGCACGCTACAGAGCAATCCATATTTGAACCTTTGCAAGGGCATCCTCGATTCGTATTCGGTTTTCGCTTCACGCTACAAGAGCTCTTGCACTTACAATATTCAACCTGCGCTAATTTAAGAAACATGATATGCATTTGGTATTTATGTTGAGTAGACAAGAAAATATGCATAGTTTTGTACCGTCGAGCTTGCCTCAGGGGACGCCATTGTTCAATATTATTTAACGCACCGAACAATATCCGAGACTTTCCGATTCGTTTTTTGTTATGCGCAGAAAAGATGCGCACACGATGACACTGCTCCTTTAACAAAGTTATAAATTATCATGGCCAAGAGATTCATGCGAAGTTTTAATTTGGTAGCGACAGCAAGATATTAGGTTATGCATGGCTTACATAAAGAGAATTAACCAATCTCGAGCTAAATCTAGACACCAGTAACGAACCAGTAACGTTTTGCATGTTGCTGGAACACACTGTCTGATGAGTTTTGCCATTCACGCGGAGAAATAACTTGTTTTCAGGTAATCCGCCCGCCACCTGAGATATGAAGGAAATAAAAATATTATCAATAAAAAAATTAATTCAATGGTATAATACAACAATTGTTAAAAATCTGGAGATAAAACTTCACTGGAGAGAAACCTTATGAACGCGATGTTTCTAAGAAGAGATTTCCACCTTCTTTCGCTTTCGCTACGTCAAAGAACTCACTGGAGAGAAACCTTATGAATGTGATGTTTGTGAGAAGAGATTTCCACCTTATTTCGCTTTAGCCACATCAAAGAACTCACTGGAGAGAAACGTTATGAATGTGATGTTTGAGAAGAGATTTCCACCTTGTTTCGCTTTCGCTTCGTCAAAGAACTCTCTGGAGAGAAACCTTATGAATGTGATGTTTGTGAGAAGAGATTTCCACCTTTTTTCGCTTTCACCACGTCAAAGAACTCACTGGAGAGAAACCTTATGAATGTGATGTTTGTAAGAAGAGATTTCCACCTTTCGCTTTCGCCACATCAAAGAACTCACTGGAGAGAAACCTTATGAATGTGATGTTTGTAAGAAGAGATATCCACCTTTCGCTTTCGCCACATAAAATAACTCACTGGAGAGAAACCTTATGAATGTGATGTTTGTGAGAAGAGATTTCCACCTTGTTTCGCTTTCGCCACGTCAAAGAACTCACTGGAGAGAAACCTTATGAATGTGATGTTTGTAAGAAGAAATTTCCACCTTTCGCCACATCAAAGAACTCACTGGAGAGAAACCTTATGAATGTGATCTTTGTAAGAAGAGATTTCCACCTTCTTTCGCTATCGCCACATCCAAGTACTCACCGGAGAGAAACCTTATGAATGTAATGTTTGTGAGAAGAGATTTCCACCTTCTTTCGCTTTCGCCACGTCAAATAACTCACTGGAGAGAAACCTTATGAATGTGATGTTTGTGAGAAGAGATTTCCACCTTCTTTCGCTTTCGCCACGTGAAAGAACTCACTGGAGAGAAACCTTATGAGTATGATGTTTGTAAGAAGGGATTTCCACCTTCTTTCGCTTTCGCCACGTCAAAGAACTCACTGGAGAGAAACCTTATGAATGTGATGTTTGTGAGAAGAGATTTCCACCTTTCGCTTTCGCCACATCAAAGAAGTCACTGGAGAGAGACCTTATGAATGTGATGTGTGTGAGAAGAGATTTCCACCTTGTTTCACTTTCGCCACATCAAAGAACTCACTGGAGAGAAACCTTATGAATGTGATGTTTGTAAGAAGAGATATCCACCTTTCGCTTTCGCCACATCAAATAACTCACTGGAGAGAAACCTTATGAATGTGATTTTTGTGAGAAGAGATTTCCACCTTCTTCCGCTTTCGTTACGTCAAAGAACTCACTTGAGAGAAAGCTTATGAACCTCGGCTTCGCCTCGTGCAGTATTGAACTTCTTGTTCCTTTTTTGTGAACTCGTGCATCTAAAACCCGATAATGCACAAACAAAGAGTGCTTTAATCGTTAATTATTAACACTCACACTCAGACTCACTCTTGCAGTGTTTATGATGGTAGTCAATCCGACTTATTCAGCGGCAAAAGCACGCAACATCAGCATTTTGGGGGTTATTGCGTGTGTTCCATTGTAGATCAATCAATCATTTCAAAGTTTTTTTAGCCACATGCCATACGCCTCCGTCTCTACTTTAGGACCATGTTTATGGTTATCGTCGCAATCCAAATGGTTTCCACATATTTCCACCCATCCTAGTTCGGTGGAAAGATGCTCTGCCTTTGGACAACCAAGATCCTCGATATTTATGAAGGGAATTCGAAGACTCTTCAGCAGGTCTTTTTCATAATGTTCGCCCTTGAACGCTAAAGTTGACTTGGGATTCTTTTTGTGTTTGTTGTAGAATGTTTCGATGATGGAGGGGAGATGCTTCAAATGGTTTGTACAGGTATTGGTTGGACTATTGAATGGCAGGTGATGAATGTTTCTTGTAACATAGCGGCAGGACTTCTGGTCTTTGGGCGATAGAGTGTTCCATGGTACCCCAATGTCGAAAAGAAAGGATGATGCATACGTTTCGACAATTGAGAGTAAACGAAGTTCCTTGCAGTGTATGAACTGGGAATTTATGTGGGATTAAGGGGCTGATTACATGAGCCCTCTTACCCGAGATTCAACGAAGCGTGAGATGACTTTGAGGTATTGAAATAAGTCTTAATGATGTTGAGTTTTGGGTAGCCATTTGCCACTCCTTTATATTCACAGCACAACTTTAGGGTTACACAGTTTTATTCACTCTGATGTATACAAGGAAAGTTACATCTATATATAAGTGGTTACATGATAATCTCTTTAGGGCGGATAACATTTCATTTTACATTTGGTTACCATATTTGGCTTTCATTAAAGAAACATTTACTACACTTGCATCTATGGAATCTATGGAATCATTTGACCACTCATAAATCTAAATTAAATCTATTTACAGTTGATTGATACATATATATTGGAATATTTGGAATATAATAGAGCATACTTTAACAAATGACACAAAACAAGCACATGCTATTGTTGTGGTGATTATACGACTGCCATGATCATGTTATTTGCTTATTTCAATACCTCAAAATCATCTCACGCTTCGTTGAATCTCGGGTAACCGGGCTCATGTAAACAGCCCCTAACAGGGTAAACGGGAATTGATGTGAGAATTGATGCGGGAATTGATGTGGGATTAACGGGGATTGATGTAGGAATGGGATTAACTGGGGTTGATGTGGGTATCGGGTATTCGGGAGTTGATGTATATGTAGTTGAGGCGGTTAGTAATTTGCGTCTAAACATAGAGGTAAATCGACAATTAGATACAACAACGATTTTGGTCAAATGAAGATTGCCACATATTAGAGGATTTCCACGTATATTAATCCACAGTAAGTTCGGGAAAATTGCGATCAGCAAAGAAAGAAATTATGCAAAATGACTCATGTTGATATTGTAGTAAATGTGAAACTTTCTAACGGCGACCTGAGGAATAGTTATTAGAATGATAAAGTTTAATATACTTGATTGTAAAAAAATATTAATAATTATTATCAGAAGATAAAAAAGTTTGTGAATTTTGGTATCCCATGACTATTACATACGACATTTCACGAACACAAGTATTTTGCTTCACGATGAAGGGCTTTCTATTTTATATCTCGCTAATTTTATCCATCATTGGGAGCTTTGACGGCAATAATTGTTGCAAATGGATCAAAGTGTTTGGTCTTTAGGATTGTACGGATTGTGGATTAAGAAAAATCCCCACAATTGGTAGCAAAAACCCCGCCGTGAAACGGCTCGATCTCCAGGGAAACAACATAACAAGAATTGATGATTCGCGGCTGTATAGTGTTTCTTGAAATTTACCGTCAGAGATCGAAATAAATATACCAATTCTATCAAACTAATAAGTTTTGTTACATATTATATCTTGTTTTGAAACTACATAAAACATTAAATAATGATAAAAATACGAATATTTACATGTAGAAAGTTAAATTTAAAAAGTTCATAAAATTTAAGTTTATAGTTTTTAACATGTTCGCTTCTGCACAGGTGAATTCAAAATGGGATACCAAAAAGTATTCAATTTTCATTGATAGTGCTAGTAATTCCTGAGTACTCATTCTCAACACTCGAAATAAATTTCCTATTTCCGCGCATCATGTATTATTTATTTCACTGGTGTTCCTTAGTCCAGTTTAACGCATAGGTCAGTGCTACCCGGTTGCCTGGGCTCAAATTCCCAGCGGGATTAATTACCATTTTAAGTATAGTCTAGCGCAAAAATTTCAAAACAGCAACAAAAGGCAACTTTTACAATTTTATGTTTGCAAAAATTGCATTATATTGTGGGTTACAAAGCTGTATTGATACAACATTTTCGATTAGGAGTTAAAGCCTTAAATGACCGCCGATGTGGTGTCGTTGAATCATGTCTGAAGATTGCGAGGAGTCGAGTAATTCGAAGTTGGAAGCGAGCGATGATAAACCTTTTGAATGCGATGATTGTAATATGAAATTTGCCACTTCGTTTGATCTGGAAACACATAAAATATTATCTGCTGCAAAGGTCGACTCTGATCGTCGTAGAGAATCACAGAGTAGCGCAGAAACCCCTCCAGAGTCAGCTGCAGAAGAAAACACAGAGAAAGTTTACGAGTGTGATGTTTGTGGAAAAAAGTGTGCAAAGCAAGGTAACTTAACAACACATAAGAGAGTTCATGAGAGGCCTACATATGAGTGCGATGTTTGCAATAAAATATTTCACCATTTAAATCGCCTGGAACGGCATAAAATTTCACATACCGGAGAAAAACCGCACGAATGTGATGTTTGTAAGAAGAGGTTTACACAATTGTGTAACTTGAAGAGGCACATTCAGATACACACCGGAGAGAAACCACATGAATGTGATATATGCCAAAGAAGGTTTTCTCAGGCCACCGATTTGGTTAGACACAAAACATTACACACTGGAGAGAGACCCTATGAATGTGATGTTTGCAATAAAAGGTTCCCACATTCAGGGTACTTAACCGTACATAAAAAAACACACTCGGAAAGTGAACAGAAAGTATGTGATGTTTGTAACAAGACATTTTCAACCCCAGCTTCCTTAGCACAACATAGAAAAATACACACAGGAAATGGTACATATGATTGTGATGTTTGTATGAAAAGGTTTAGGGCACCTGGTTATTTAGCCATACATAAAAGAACACACACAGGAGAGAAACCATTTGAATGTGATGTTTGTAACAAGACATTTACACAATCAACTGGTTTGATAGCACATAAAAGAGTCCACACTGGGGAGAGACCCTATGAGTGTGATGTCTGTAACAAGACATTTTCACAATCAGCCCATTTAGCGACACACAAAAGAACACATACCGGCTTCAAGCCTCATGAGTGTGATATTTGCAATAGGAGATTCTCTGACAAGAGGTGCTTTGTGAAACATAGAAAGAACAAGCATCCAAATGAGAATTATATGTGTGATGTTTTCAAGGAGACATTTCTTCAGCCAGCTGACTTAGCAACACATAAACTTGTGCACTTTACTGCTGAGAATATGTCTGACTCTTGTGAGAATATGCTTGCGGCATCAAATGTTGTAGCCTTTGTATGTATCGAAAGAGCACAAGACCTTGACACTTGCAATGAGGAATTCTCCCAATCATCTGATTTGGAGGCACATAAATCATCTTGTGAAGCAGCACAAATTGTTCATGTCGGTAATGACTTAGGGTCATTGAACAATTTGGAATTACATGAAGCTGAAAAGAATATATCTGAGGCACATTGTGAAAATGATTGCAATATTGAATTGAGACAGTGCAATATTGAATTGACTCATTTACCAAATAATATATCTGAGTCTTGTGTGGAAATGCATGACCAGGAAGTTTACAAATGTGACACTTGCAATGTGGAATTTGCCCAATCAACTGATTTGGAGGCACACAGAACATCTTGTGGACCGACACAAACTTTTGATGTTGTTGATAACTTAGATTCATCGACCAATGTGGAATTCGCTAACGAGAAAAGATCTGAGGCACCTTGTGAAAATAATATTAGCAACATTGAATTGACTCAATCAGAAGATTTGGAGACAAATGAAACATCTTCTCCACAAGTAATGCCTGAAAATTCTGAAGATGGATTAAACACTCCAGAATTTATAAATGAAACTTATGAGTGTGATGTTTGCCAATTAAAATGTGCCCAGTTGTCAGATTTGGAAGCACACAAAATTGCATGTGCATCAAAGCAAGACATACCTAAAGATGATGCAGAAGTTGACTCTTTGAAATTAGGTGAATCTTCAGATTTGGAAATGCATAAACCATCATGTTCGACAGCAGAAATTGAAACAGAACAAGCTGAGTCGCTGCCCTCAACATTGGACAGTTTGGACTTACCGAAGGAAGGAACAAAAGGCAAACCCTATGAATGTGATGTTTGTGGAAAGAGGTGTACCACAAAAGGCAACTTAACCAGACATAAAACAGTTCATGATAGACCTATATATGAATGTGATGTTTGCAAGAAAGTATTTTGTCGATCGAACCGCTTGAAAAGACATAAAATTTCTCATACTGGAGAACAGCCCCATGAATGCAAAGTTTGTAAGAAGAGGTTTTCTCAGTTGGGTAACCTGAAGCGACACCTTCAAATACACACTGGAGAGAAGCCCTATGAATGTGATGTCTGTCAAACCCGATTCACCCAGGCAACTGATTTGGCAAGGCATAAAACATTACACTCTGGGGAAAAACCCTTTGAATGTGATGTGTGTAAAAAGAGATTTCCTCACCTGGGTTATTTAGCTGGACATAAAAAAACACATAAAGATAATGGAAATTTTGAATGTGATATTTGTAACAAGACATTTTCCCGTCCAGACTTCCTAGCCAGACATAGAAGAGTACATACTGGAGAATGTGCTCAAGAATGTGAGATTTGTTTTAAGCTGTATTCCCACCCAGAATCCTTAGCTAAGCATATGAAAATACACACAGCAGATAAGCACACCCTGCATCAGTGTGTTGTTTGTATGAAGGTATTTTCTCACAGATCAGCCTTGGTGATCCATAATAGAACTCACACTGGCGAAAAACCTTTCGAATGTGGTATATGTGATAAAAAATTTACCCAACAAAACGGTTTGATTGCACATCGGAGAACTCATTCGGGAGAAAAACCCTACGAGTGTGATGTTTGCAAGAAAAGATTTGGCCAAACGGCTCACTTGGCAAGGCATAAGAGAACCCACACTGGAGAAAAACCCTATGAATGTGACGTTTGTAAGAAAAGATTTTGCGATTCCAGGACCTTGGTGCATCATAGAAAATCCCACGCTGATAACCAGCCAAGCTTCATCATATTATCGCAGGAGGAATGTGCAAGCAGTCTTTATGAATGTGATGTTTGCAAGATATCTTTTACACAACCCAGTGATTTAGAAGAACATAAAAAATCACACAACGGAGATCCGTCACTTGAACTTAATATTTTAGCTGAAGCGATTTTCGCAAATAATACATTTGGCAGCATACTTTAAGACGTGTTGATTTAGTTTTTAAGGACGTGTTGATTCTCTGGTCCTACAGAGTTCGTGTTTATATAATTCGTCAAATAAATTTGATGTTTCCCTGTTACTGTCTGTCTAGCCGAAGCGATTTTGTCCTAACCGAAGCGATTTTCTTTTGTACGTTAGCTATATACACGCACTTTTAAAAGAAATTCGTCGGGCAGAACAATATGAAAATTTCGACCCTGGCAAGACCTTTTAATGATGTTATGTAAAGATCTGTTCACATGACCCAATTTCCATTTCACCTCTGATTGATGTTTTATAGTCTGTTAACTTGCATTGTATATGGACAGAAAACCAGCCCAAGCCAGTACAGTACTGGAACCGGTTGTATCAAGCCCGTTTAGCTTAAACGGTGGTTAAGTTCGAAATAGAAAGCAAGTGTATCGTTTTATTCAACAAGCGAACTAAATGTTTTTAACCTTAATAAAAAGATAATGTTTACAACTACATATTCAGTGCATAATACCCAAGTTGACTCATTGAAGAGAGATGTAAGAGTGTTATTTAATTTTGACTTATTCACCGTTTGAGCTAAACGGGCTTGATACAACCGGCCCAGTTTTAATGACAGACTACAATCCATACGTCAGAAGTGACTTGGACCCAACTAAATTGGATCGTTTGAACAGGATAGAGGATGAATATCGACACAAAGGTCAGTTCACACGATCCAACTTTGTTGGATCTAATTTATTTCTGATTGATGCATTATAGTCTGTCGACTTGTAATGCAGATTGCCAGCAACCCCACTAATGCTCATGCAGTACTGTTTTATGAGTAACTCACCACATTCCATACGTCACAAGTGACTTGAATTCAACAACATTTTCCGAAACGTTGCGAAGTGTAAGGTTTAATTTTTCTAAGATCCTGGAATAAAAACTTCTGAATTAAAATTTTAATATTAAATAAAAAAAAGCTGAAAATTTTCAAGGTATTAAATGTAAAAGAGTTGTTATAGTACTTCATATATGTATATACATATATAATAGTAGATTATGTACAGCATTATAACAATTAAGCAGATCAATTTAATTATAGGCCACGGAGTGTCTATAGTTCCGCTAGACCATTACAAAACTGGATGTATGTAGTTACCGGTTTATCAATTTACTTAAAACTCTGTCCTATTAATAGCTGAATGTCATAAAAATACCTTTGTAATTCATAATACAATTATGTTAATACTCATCTGAGGGCCTGTCGCCTAAACTGTGGACAGTTTCATGCAGGTCACGAAAATCTTTGGTCAAACGTTAACAGTCAAACATTTGAAAGGTAAGCGAGTATATATCACAGCGTTATAAAGTCCTTGCATATAGATGGGAGGAATTTTGGAAAAACGTTTGACATAGCAAGTTATTTTTGTTTTAAAACGTCATAACAAAGGGTCTTTAATGGTGAACAAGCGCTGAGAATAGGGTTAAGGTGGCATTGAAAACTGGTTTCTCGGTTTCGCAGCTATAACTATGGTGTATATCTCCTGTAAATGAATTAAGTGTACATGTAAGTGGATTTTTTAAAAATAGATTGGTAATTGATATAGGAAGGCAATGCAATATCGTTGCCTTTTGATGCATAAATATGAATATATTCAATGCCATGGATACCACAAAAACATGCTTCATTTCATCATGATGCACAATTATGTTCAATGTATTTACAAAGAGCCACATGCTTAAAAATACGGGACCAAGCAACAATGTAAAAGTTTATGTGAAATTAACCAAAGGAGGTCAAGTGGCTTTATGCGTGTAAATTACACCAAGAATGCTAATTAAGATAGATCATTATCAGGGTGTATAGAAAAATACAACCACTTAAAAAATCATGAATATTCGATCTTTTGTGATCGAATAGAAAACAATTACCATGAATATTAATTTAATGTTGTGTTTTTTTATACACTTTGTAAATTGGCGTCATTCATTAGTATTCTTTACGATTTATAATGTTTCATTCAATTAGCATTCGAAAACATCGCCTTTCGACCACAATAGGCCCGTACTCAAACTTGCGTTTAATCACATTTAAGACCCCGTTTATACTATACCGGCTTCACAAGGGCACGACATCAGTTGTTTTACGGTATCTTTGTTCCCAATACGTTTTCATTTGATAGTCCATGTTAAAGCAATCATACTTTTGGGGATAAAACTAGCTTTGACGTGACCAATTTTGATGTCGACTCGTAACCATGCGAATCCGGTACATAGTGTTAACGGGGCCTATATATAAAACAAAACGTTCCTTCCCGTGTTTTGATTACTACATCAGGTATCCCTCAAATAAAACGCCAAGACATGTACAACAATAAAGCCTTATCAACTAAAACGACTAATCTTTAATTCCCAATCAACGAGACAAGGTATTTTCAAGATATTTTCGCATTATGTCAATAATTGACATTAGTTGGCATCTGTTTAGGCTGTATTAGTGTATAACGGTATCTTTAGTCTTAAAATCTAAGCTAAATAGTTCATAATCCCAAATAATAATAAACAATTGTCACTTCAAAGCTGTTAGACATTTAGCGTATTTGATGTTTAGCCCTTGGAGATTTTGTACTGTTTTGAAGTTGAATATTTAACTTTTACTTCACTTTCGCTGCCGGCTTAATGCATCAGAAGAGCGATTTCAGTATATTAAATACATAAATAGGCTCGCAAAATATTTGCCACATGTTAAATGACGACGGGGTTACTGCATGTAATGTATGTCTAATTAAATTATGTTTTCGAAATAATGGTCGACGACAAACTGTTTAACACGGCAGTTATAAATAAACAACAAAACTTTGGTCTGCCATCATCAATAATTCAGCCTCATCTTCCCATTTCCCAGCATCGGCGTTCTCGTTTTCTACAGGGATGCAAAAGTTTCCATACGGGGTGAAAAATAAGATCTGCAACCTCCAGAGAGACCTCCCGGGAGTGCTATTAGAAGAGTTGGGCTCAAATTAGACCCAGCTACAATGCTCCCGGATTCGCATATCGTCACGTTTAACCACTTCAAGATTATTTCTTACTTTACAACCTGGTTTGGAACAAAATGAATGAGTGAAATAGCCATATGCCATGTCATAACCTTAGTTCCACTTAGAGCCTCTTTTTAAAAAATCATTATCCTTGTGGGGGGGGGAGACCTAACTGGAAATTAGTAATAACCAATAACGCTTTTATTAAGGTATTTTCAATTTGAAATTTGGTTGTGTGATGTATTCTGTAGTTAGTACTATATTACCCACTCCCAGAAAATTTTCTGTATTTTATGACTTGATTTTTTCAAATTTTTGTCTTGCATTTGTAGTTCATTAAAATGAAAGCTGTTATATTCCTTGTTTCGATTATTTATCTGGCAGAAGCGGGAATCGAGTTAAAAGGTACATAAATACTGAGAATCATTATCAATCATATCGAGAATACAACATTTTCAAAAGCTTTTTGTGCTAATTATTTCCGTTTTTTAGCTGAAAAATTCTCCTCCGGTACGTAATTATGCTCGTGAATACTTTCAATCCAAACCTAGTTGATTTTGCCGGCGGTTTTTGCTGCATGCCCACTGTATGCAAGCTGATATTCAGCGAGTAGCTCAGCCAATCACACTGCAAAATTAGTGACACAATTGGCCTATCAGATTACACGTTTCATCTACTCAAAATCTGGTTGCGAAGTTTTATATAACCGTTCCAGGTTTTTTGTTGTGAACCTCTACTTATATGGGAATTTATGATATCTTCTAAAATATCACTAAGGGAGAAATTTTGAGACACCCTGTATTATAAATATATTGCTAGGTGATGATATGGAAAGCCCGGACATTTCCAAGATAGCAAGAACGAGCACAAAGATAATCGTTTTCTGGAATCACATATCGAGTCGCAAGATAAAAAAGTACACAGTTTGTTATGGAAGAACAATCAACGATGTCAAAGATTGTTTGTCAGGAAAAGTAGTGGATGGCAATAATGATTACGCGATTATTCATAACCTGGATGCGTTCACAGACTACACTATGGTTGTAAGAACAACCACCAGCCGAATTAGTTTCAAATATGTATACGGAAATCCGGGCAAAGCGTTGACTGTAAAAACATGTAAGTTTTTAAATAGCGACAGCTACTTCATATTCGGTTTTTCACTTTTTAATGATTGCACTAAATTGATAGGTTTCATATCATATACCAGAGCTATTATTTCAATCGTCGCTTCGCGGCGTCCACAAAGGTGTCCACACAAGTTAGACGCAGATCAGACGGGAATTTACAGTAATCTGCAAGAATATTGCGAAAGGTTGAAATTTATTTGCTTTAGAAAATAAAAAGCTGTAAAAAATCGCGTGCTTTCTGTGTAGGCCTTAAATCTTAAACTTCATAAAAAAGACCACACGTTCAACACCACTATACGTCGGCCTTGTACCCTTTATTACTTGACGAGTCTTTAGCCGCGCTTTCTTTTTTTTCACGGCAAAAATGGACACATTGGCATAGATAGATTACCCTTGATTTAGGATGTTTTGAGGGCCCGGCATGTAAAGGTTTAACCGCTATATTTTTAACGTAATACTATAATCACAAATTCAAAAGAGACTGACATCATCATTTTTGTTCAAAGCAAAGCTCGCTAAGTGTTCCGGACGATTCCAATTAGGCCCCCAGGGAATTTAGATCCTGCTTGCGTTTCTGTAATTATAAAGATCGGGTGTATTGGGCGTACACGGACATATTGTTAACTTTGACGAAAAAAAATCATTCAAATCATTTCATAGCTTGTGAAACTGACATGGACTGCAAGAGCGATACATTGAGATGTCGATATTGTAGTTGCGTGTGTAAAGATGACAGTGAGCAATGCAGAGGTAAGTCTTCTTTCCTTGTCTGGGGAGAGGGGGAATTGAGGAGCAGTTAAGCCAGCAATAAAATAATATTTAAACGCTTGACGTTTTGCCTAAACAAAGCTACAATTCTAGTTTCAATTAATACAAATTCATTTCCGCATATATACTGACGGGTGACTTTACAGTAGCTATGGTATGCAAGCTTCCAGTTCTACCATTTTAAAGCATTGATTTTCATTTTACTTTCTTAATTTTAGTCGGTCCAGAAATTTACAGAACAGAACGAACGAGCAGCACGTTGCAGGTCTACTGGAATCATCAGGATGAAAACGTTGCAGGATACATTGTTGGATTCTTTGAGTTGAAATCGTCTGGACCGAACGATTGTTCTTCAGACGAAGTAACAGAAGTTGCCGGGGGAATGATCAATGCTGTCCTAGTTGGTTTGAAATCATACACAGAATACTCAGTTGCTGTTAAGGCACTTGACGACGAGGGTGTTCCAGGACAATGGGGAAAGGCTGTCACAGTAACCACAAGTAGGTTGTTCACAAGATAACGCGTTCAGGCCAAACTGAAACATTAGACCTGCGAAAGCTTCTCGCTGGGAAGTTTTATTTTTGCGCTTTCGTGTACAAGAGAAGTAGTTTTGCTTGTTAATTTTGTCTAAAATATTTCTATTACAAAGAATTACGGAATAATCTATGCATACAATCTAGATAATAGCCTATGCATGTAGACAATGAAATGCTTCAAAATTAGTCTTTATTCATCCGCTATTGCCATTTAGTTTCCTGACGGTCAGATCAACTATATAGTTTTATATAAACCTTTGATATCATCTAGCTTGTAAAACAAACGCTGAATGCGCACATCTGGGTCATGCGATATGTTTGAACGGTAATTGTGTATGTGACGATGGATACATCATGGATGGTGGACAGTGCAGAGGTAAATACAGTTAAGAGGGGATATATCGTGCATATTTTGGTTAAAAACTTAGCATCAAATGTGTTATAACAACTGCCTAAAATAGCCAAAACACTTCTCGACGTTTCGACCTGAGGGCCTTCGTCAGGAGAACTCTAACTATGCCCATTACTATATTGCGCTCCGCTAATGCAACCAGAATTTTTACAATGCAATAATAACTTTTCTTCGATATCCCCAGCAATAACGCAGTGTCATTCAAAACTAGCTTCATGTCAATATTAATTATCATCTAAGTACACGATGTGTAGCATTGTCTTTCATTTTGCAAAGGCAATGCTTTCAGTCCGTTAACCCAAGTTTTTATCAGTGCAATTCACATCGCCTTGCAAAATGACAGGGATATTATTAGCTTTTTACGGTTTCTTGAAGGAATAACTTGTGAGGATCAGCCTTGTGGTAACATCGGAATATGCGAGACAGACTTGGAAACAGGAGAATTTGATTGTAAATGTCCGCGTGAATCATTTGGAAATGGACATCACTGCTATAGTATGTTATTTTATTTTTCATTTATTTCGTAGTTTCTGGTATGGAATCAAATCTGAGAAGTTTTCAGATTGACCTTTTTGAGAAATCGTTATTGGTCTTATCGGAGGGGCATTAACAAACTGTTCTTAACTGGGAATTGTTAGGGGGGGGGGTATTACGAACGAATTCATCGAAGCGGTATATGGTTCATTAGGATAAGATTATCTTTTTCTGAACATGGTTATTTTGCTTATATTTACACTTAAAGGGCCCTAATTTTTTATTTTGCTTATATTTACACTCAAAAGGGACGCAGAACAAGGTAAACACTGAAAAGGCTGAGCAAAAAACAAAATAAATGCTACTCATATGACCGTGCTTGACTAAATTTCATCCAAACTGGATGCCCTGCATTTCAAATTTTACTCTCAAATATCGCCCATGTTGTTTTTAGACACGCCATGTTATAGCTCGCCTTGTCAAAATGGAGGAAGTTGTAAAGCGAAAAAGAACGCTACGTCTGAAGAGCCTACGTCTCAAGATTACGAATGTGTTTGTCCAGTAGGCTTCTCTGGTGATAATTGTGAAGTCATGGAAATAGGTATGAGTACGAATATTTGAACACTTGTGGTGTATGAAAATAGATTGGAAAAATGACTATGTTCAGTAATAGAAGGTATCATTCTTTAGCAAAATCCAACGGCTTTTACAGAATTGATTTCACAGATGTTTGATACAAAATATTTACTTATACGTAGCAAAGTATGCTGCGTTTCGTGTGATTTCAAGAGCTATTATAAGGTCTTGTCAAACGTCAATTATCTCAGCCTTGATAATTTCCAATAACATGAATCTAATGATTTCTAATCTCATGAACCTCATCTAATGATTGCTCACTGTATAATTAAATACCGCTGGTTGTATTAGACAAATAAAGCAATATCATTTTAAGTTGTAGAGTCATGCTTGTAAATAGTTTTGACAATGACTTTGAAATAGAGTCGAAATATCACCTTGAATATTGTGTCTTGTTTTTTAACGACTCTTATCTTGAGTTTACAAGATGTTTATTTTCGGAGTATGTTTTCTCTTATATTTCGCAAAAATTGTCTGCTGGAAAAGGTTTTTGAGTCATTAATTTACTGCTTTTCAGAGTTTCCCTGTGAAAGGCGAATTATGGATATTCCTTATTGTGAAGACGGCGGACCGACCACAGGTATTTAGGCTGGTTGATATTAATGCCATCTGAACAATATGAAACTGTCTTGATGTACGGAAACAGGAATGCTTTGAATGCTTGATTCCCAAATGATTTCCATGTGAACTAGACAATGCTTTTGAGATGCTGGCAAACATGTTTTTATGATGCCTAGAAAACAGCTGTCTTTAACCGTTTTGGCATTCAAAATCATCCCTCTACATACTGGCACTTTACGTGCAAATCATTACAGAAGTGTGAATGATTCCTTTTTGCATCAGAAACATGCGATGACCATCCATGTCAGAACAATGGTACATGTTTACCAATACATACTGGCCAACACAACTACTTCTGTGAATGCCGACCAGGATTCGCCGGGCGTACATGCGAAGCAGGTAAATCATGACAATCCAAATCCGTCGCATGTTCCAAAAGCGCAAAAAAGTTAAAAACCGTTAAAATAATACTAAAATGGAAATAATTGGTGACTTTTAGACCAATGATAGCGTAATTTCCAATAAAACCTCTCAAACTATTTCTACACTATTTAGTTTATGGAGACAATTTACTTGATGTTGTATATGCTTGCGCAGAATAGTGCAATTGCAATGAAAACCATTTTATATAGCAGTCGAACAATAAATGGTAAAATCTTTCTACGGGTCGTGCACACTTCAATTTCTTAATTTTTATATACCTAATACAAAATCACAATTTATATACAGTAAATATTAAAAAATTAGGCACTAATTATTCGTCTATCGCATGAAAATGATTATTTTTTGTAGAAATAAATGAGCAATGCGGTGGAAAAGGAATTTGTAAATTGAAGTTCAAGGAAGAAGGACAATGTTTGAAAGTAGAATGCAATTGCTTCATGGGATATAGCGGTGATCAATGTACCGTAGACGGTAAGTTTTATGGCCAACAATGTGTCCAATGTGGGAAGCTCATTCACCGGCGAAAGGATAGTCCAGAATTGATTCGTTCATTTTCGCTGTAAGTGTTTATTTTGTTAATGAAAATTGAAGAGAGAATTGGGGGGCTGTAGGTACAAATTGACAGAGATAGTGTTTTTTAACTGGAATTCATGAAGAAATGAAGTCCCGGCCTGCTTGCTTATTTCATTCAGAGACAAACTGCAATGATAAGAGTGATTGTAGAAATGGTGGAACATGTAACGCGGGAAAGAAGTGTGATTGTGCTCTTGGTTTCAAAGGCGTTTTCTGCGACGAACGAGGTACCCGGAAAAATCTAATTCTTTTAATACATTACTTTCGCATTTCAAGTATATTATTTGTGCAGTCCGTGTTTAAACCTGTCCAGGTAAATAAGAAACGAAGGAAGAGTGGTATTCTTATAAGCTTGCCTGTTCAATTCCCAGCGATCAAAATATCTTTTGTTTCGGTCCAAAATTTTGAGAAACCAAACCGCGAGTGGCGATGGACATACTCGATGGCAGTCGTTAGTTTCCCACGCATTATTTTTGACATGTTGGAAATCAGAATGCTCCTCCATATTAATATCCATCATTAACCTTAAAGGCTAATTTCCACTCCGGAAAACGAGCAGCGGATCGGATCGGAACGAAAGATAATCGGCGCGTTCGCCGTCTGTTGAAATTTTTAGCTTATATTGATCCGAAAGCGTCCGAGACCGGATAAAAAAAAGTTCAAATAGTTTTAACTTTTTTTGATCCAATCCGAAATCACTTCATGGATCGGACCAGCTCGGAAAAAAATCAGATCCGATACGATCCGCTGCTCGTTTTCTGGAGTGGAAATTAGCCTTAAGTCTGTTTATTGTTATCGTAGTTTATAAACTCTCCGGTCTTTCCCGCAGAACACCAATCCTATATTAACTTTCCTCGGATCCATTTCGCTGGAAGATTCCACAGTGACCCATCATCCGCAAATAATAATCCGGATAATTTTGGTGCTGAATACTTTTCCGGAATGGACCAAGGATGGAATCCAAATGGGGGAGCGACATGGCGGGTGGTGGACACAAGAATTACAAGAGTTTGTTATGCAAACGAAGTTTGCACTTCTGGGGAATACCATGACCCTCTTATTAACAAAAAACTTGAGGGTAATGTATTTTCAGATATTAACAGGGGGGTGTTGGGCCGAAGCACAACAGGGGGGTGTTGGGCCGAAGCACGACAGGGGGGTGTTGGGCCGAAGCACAACAGGGGGGTGTTGGGCCGAAGCACAACAGGGGGGTGTTGACCCAAGCAAAACAGGGGGGTGTTGGTCTTTTGCAGGCACACTCATCGCATGGAGCTATTCTAATTGTAATATCTTATTCCTTTCAACTATTTAAAAATGTTTTTTTGGTTTAATCAAAACTACAGATGGCAATCTCGGCGCCAGTGCAAAGCTGGTTGACCTTGATGTTGAATTCCAAGCATCATCTCAAATTTACGGTTGGTCATTGCAAGTCAGAGACTTTTTTAAAGCAGATTTTCAGCGTGTTGGGTTTCGATATATGTGGCCGAAAATGAAAGGGAGTGTTCAGAGTACGGAAATATCTGGAACCGCATATCAAAGTGTTCTTACAAATGTTCAATTTGGAACAAGAAGCGAAGAATCTCAGATAACGGGATACTTAAAACAATACTTAAATCGTAGTAACAGAAAAGAATTATCAATCCGTTTCAACGTTGACATGTACGATTCGTCGGTCACCTCAGATAACTTCACGTATGGAAGAATCGTTGGTTCCATTGGAATTTCTGGTTATAATTCACCGCCGTTTGTCAATTTTGGCCGTATGCTAAAACGGAATGGAAACAATCCAAACTTTTGGGTCTCTCCCTTTGTTTATGATCAACAGAAAGGATCTCTTTTTCTTGATCTTGGAAATAGTTTAGCTATCACAGAAAACGGAAATCTTGTGAAATCAATTGGAAACTTGGCTCTAGCGTATTCTGATAGGAGAGAAGACACAATTAAATGTCCGAAAACATGGAAACCATTTAGCCACATATATTTTAGTGACTTGGAAAAGTACGAGCTGACTGCTGGAATATTTAAGCTGGATGTTGGAGATGTGGACTTGAGTGTATCCAGAGTAATTTTGGCAAAGGTAGAGTTCTTAATACTTCTTTAATTTATGTTTTGAACTTCTTGAAAAACTTTTTTGTTAACATTGGCCTAACTAGATTACAGAATATGATCCTGGTAAGTAATTTCATCATGAAACCCAGAACATGAGAAATAAGACAGTCCAATGTGCCCACTGTTTACAGTAGAAAAACCACATTAGCTACGATTTTCTAACATTATTTATTTGATGAAAAGCTAGTGGTGTTATTGGCGAGAATTACTTGGTTTTACAATTATATTTCAAAGGGTGGTCAACAGTGACCAACATAAATGGATTTTAATTCAAAATTGCATCGAAAATTTTGTCGAAAAACAGAATAAAGTACGAACAGATTCTAGTCAATAGTTGCAATCATAGTTGAATGGTATATCCTGTGTAAAGTTTTGGCTGGTCTGTTTTGTAGGTAGATGATAAAGGAGGTTGTTCTGAGGTTGTCTTAGCAGAAGACAAAGATGGTATCTTCATCCACCCTCTTACAAATTGGCTAATCCGCGCTGTGCCCGAGGAATCTGTGACTGTTAAATTGTTAATGACTCTTTATGGAAAGTACCCTTCCGAAGAAGATTCCTTTCGGGTCAGCGTTTCCCCGTCTGGCACAATCACCAAGAAGAAACGTGGAGTTTTTGAATTCACTAAGACCACTGAAGACCCAAACCACGCAAGACTCTTCATCGATGGAAAGGTTTGTTTTTTCAAATATTATTTATCTGGAAGAACGCCGCCTGCAGATGATGATTTTGATTCCGCAATTGTCATACGTGTCTGGGACAAATTTGATGTTCCAACTCAGCCTAACTGGATCAGACATGTACAACCGATTTTCAAACAATATGCAAATTTGTATCTTGTGATGAAAATAAACTTCATGGATCTTTCAAATTATTTTGATGTTGTTGAAAACAAGTACGGAATCATAAAGACCATGTCTGTTGACGTGGAAGATCCACGTTATATGCCCGTCACAAGAGACATGTCTCCAGGTAAAGTTCAGATGATTTTAAAATGGCTAAAGGATGATCCACCCAGATATGGATACTCAAATCTCGGAATAGACATGTTCACATTGAAATACCTTCTCCAGACGGCACTTCAGTTGGAACACGCAACCATTCCACCGTACTTGACAGGTTATATTTCAATAATGAAAGGTTATAATACTGAGGTGAAAAGCATGTTGAAAGACATTTTAATTGACGAAATGTATCACATGGCTCAAGTGTCCAACATTTTGAATGCGATCGACGGAAATCCCAACCTTTTTGCTCCGCATTTTGTCCCGTCATACCCCAGCTATCTGCCTGGAGGAGTTCATCCTGATGTCAAAATGACTGTAAACAAAATCTCCAACCTTCAAATTCGTGATGTGTACATGGTTCTAGAGACTCCGGCTAAGGAACTCGTAGAAAATGGATTGATTAAAGCGGTTGATCAAATTATTAGGGATAAGTTATTAGCAACAACCGCTGCCAAACCTATCACTACACCTGACGCATGCGAAGATGTCTCATCATTGTACAATGATGCTGTTAAGAAAAACGAGGATATCAGAACAAACCACAACACAGTTGGTGGGTTGTATACCACAATTCTTATCGTGATGGCAAAACTTGAGTGTGATGGAGTATTAACTTTCAACGGTACGAAGCCTCAGCTCGAGATAGGAGGGGAAAGAGGAAAGGAAGTGATAAAAATCCACGATTTTGGGACGGCCATGCAAGCTATTAAAAATATCATCGAGGAAGGTGAGGGATCTTCGCCTTGTAATCCGCTGGACGAGAGCACCGATTTATCTCATTACTACAAATTTGCGTCAATCGCGAACAAGCGTCATTTGAAGACGATCGAAAAAGATTCGAAGGTTAGTTCAAGTTCCAAGACTTTCTTGGTACCTTGGAATCTGTGGCGATTTTATCGCCGGCTTAAATACGTTAAACCATAACAATTTTCAGTTTCATGTTTGTAATTATACTAAGATCAAATTTCTTTCTGTTTGTCTAGAACAAATCCACCGTTTTTGATAACGTAAGTCCTCAGATCGACTCACCTTTCTATTTCTTGCATGTTACTGTGTTAGGCGGTGTTACACTATGCAAATCTTCTGGCAACTTGCAATGCAATTCTTCTCCTGATGCATCTAAAGTTGTCAAATCCATCCGCTAACGTTTTCTTAACATTACGAACACTCTTTACAAATGAACATTCCTCAAAATTGTAATTGTATTGCAATTTTGCAAGAAAATCAGCAATGCTTGCTCTTTCGGTTGCAAGTTTTTGCTATAAAAGTTATAAAACCCAGTTTTTTCTATACAGGAATGCACAGGACCGCATGCAGACACTTTTGCATATATTGGAAGAATTCTGCCTTTCAGTGAAGATGGTGTTTGGCCCATCGTTGATAATCCAATGATGTTGATGTACAAGGAAGGAAGTCGAGCTGAAAATGTGGCAAAATTATTCAGCAAATCGTATTGGAGGTTGTTGAAAACATTGCAAAATGTTTTCGATGGAAAAACGTTTCTTTTTGGCAATACAGTAGCAATCATGAAAGATCTGCTCATCCATGGTAACAGGTTGGTTCAAACACCAATTGAAAAGAACGGAGATCCTCATATTGGTCCGAATGCAGGTCCTATCTATCCAACCGAAGAACCAGATCTGTAAATCCTTGTGATTGAAGAGTTTGATTTTTTTGTTGTGTGAAGGACAGTTATTAAAGCAATTTTTGTTCATTTAGTAGGATGCCATTTTTAATTTTATAAAAATGAATACTATTTTTCTTCGTGTATTATTATGATAATAGCTTATAAAATTTCATATTTGTAATGTTTTGCTAAGAAGCCACTGTTTCATTATATATCATATTAGTATAATTACAAACGTGATTATTGAAAGTTCCTCCTGCCTCTGACTGGTCGAGGGACCCCGGGTTCACCATCATCACCAAAATAATGCAGATTTTGCAAAATAGAGGCGAGTTGTTTTTTTCAAAGTGACAGATCATAACAAAAACAACGTACTTAAAAGTACAAAATTAGAAAAAATTCGGATGCGTCACATCCTAACGTTACGTACCGCGTGTGTGAGAAGGTCTTTGTCGAAAATTTATGAGAATAATATGTCAATTGTCAAAGTGAATATGGAGTTGAAGTGGAGATTGATATTCTCTGTTGTCACTAGGCGACCGAAAGTCATTTTGGACGAATGGCATGTTCATTCCACAAACCTAAAAAAATATATATCACCTGCTTTGTTGTCTTTATTGGCCCTGCATCGCTACAACGACTCCTGATTAACGTGAAGTCTTGCTTTCTTTACAAGATTCACAGCATTTTTAATTTAGTCTATACTCATGCTTTCTTCATAACCATTCCTATTGTAAATTGACAACAATTACTTTATCTATAAGGATTATTATATTTATAACAATCCTTCATCAAAGTTTACAACGTTGATTTTAAGGGCCGCTATGAATCAACGTTTGTAACATAAAGCTGGATGAAGGAATCCGACTGTAAAACGTTGCAAAGTGTGTAGCTAATAAGATTTAACCATTGTAAGATCCTGGAATTAAGAACTCCAAGTTAAAAGTTCAATATAAATTGAGCAAAAGTGTTTCAGGAATAAAATTGAAAGTGTCCAGTACTATATATTATGTATAGAATTACTATAAAAATTAAGTATATTCAATAATAGGCCGCCAAATATCAGTAGTTTCCGCTGTTTGTCACAAAAATAGCTTTGTAATTTTAATAAACAATTATATCAATGCTCGCTTCAGCGACCGACGAACCAAACTCCGAACAGTTTCAGGTCACGAAAAGTGTTCTTTGGTCAAAAAAGTGAAACACTTAAAAGGTGAGCAAGTATATGATAGCTTTTCAAGTCCTTGCTTACGTGGATACAATTTAGGAGGAACCAACAGTGAAAAAGCTCCGTTTAATTGAAATAGCAAAGGTTTTTGCTTTGAAACTTCAAAACAAAGTGTCTTTGAAGGCGAGCGAGCGCTGAAAATCAGCTTAAGCTGACATTGAAAGCTGGCTTTTTTTTGCTTAGAAGCTATAACTATAACGTTTATCTCCGGTTAATGAGGATGCGAGTGTACATGTGAGTACATTTTTGTTGAAAATAGACTGGTTATTAATCGAGAAACGTCCCGCAGGATCGTGAAATAACGATGCACGTATACCCGTATGCATGATACGAATAATCCGTTCAACAGTAACCTTACATTCTTTATGTTATCGTCTTGCATCAAATGTTTAATCGAATTATTAAGAAGCACCCGCTTAAAAGTATAGACGTTAACAACAATGCAAAAGATTACGCAGTTTCGCAGTTTTTATGATGTCACCAGCCGAAGCAAAATTATGCCGAAGTATCTTTGCAGAGAGCAGGCCGGAAGATTCTTAAAGTAACCATAGCTAATACTCTTTGTCTTGAACTACGTTTTCAGCGTCAGAGAATTTACGTCGCATGCCTTTTAGCGAAGTTGTTGACAATTTGGAAACCAAAGTCAACATTAAAGAAAAATCGTCGTATTGTCTTGAATCAAAATATCCTTCAAATAGAACACGTTGATGTGTCTACATATATTAACCCCTCGTTTAACGTCAACGACTTACCGCTAATCCATAATTAAAGAGGTAATGCTTGTTTAACGGGAAATCTAAATATTTCCTGAAATCCGATCTATGTTAATCCGTAATCCACTTTTCGGAATCTAATAATCCGTAATCCCAAACAATAGCGAAACAATTGTCACTTGTTGTTACGTTTTAGTTTAACTGTAATTGAATTGAATTGTGTATGATTCCATTCGAAATTTTGTTCGTGTCGAATGCAATTCAAACAAAAGTTAATGAGATGATAATGAAGCTTAACGAGGTTCATCAGCTCATTATCTATTATTTGGATTGCATTCGACGCGACCAAAATGCGACGTTTAACCTAGGCCTTCCAGTATCCGACCTTCACGCGTGATGGTAGCTGATTATCTTAAATTGATTTTAAATCGGACAAAATATATTGTTCTGTTTGGTTCAGGATTGATTTAGTTTGTAAGCATGCTATATAGCGTCTAATATGACAACTCAAATTAACTTTTAATGAACTATATATTGCGTAGTTGAAATGCGAAAAAGAGAAAGGGCAATTCGTTAGCGAATATAGACCCATGGGCGTCTAAACCGCTAGCGGATTTCGACTTGTGCTTTGTCTCATCGCATTGTGTTTCAATATTGTATCAGTTCCGGGTCTTTATAATCGGTTAGAAGGCCTTAGATAAAGATGTCGACAACTCAAATTGGACCAAATACTGTTGCAAAAATTTCAAAGTAATAGCTATAAGGTAGCGAAAATATGGGTGTATGGTGTTTGGAACGCATATAATATTTATATGGGCTTATACGCATATAATATTCATATTGTTTGGCAGGTTGGGCTTTGTCTTGGTCTCAAATGATCTATAGCATGATAGGGGGGCCACAGTGTGGCTATTTGTATAAGCCTGATTCTCATAAGTCAAACAGTGGGCAATTTAATACCATTCATATTGTCAGTGATCACTGGCCCATGATTATAACTCCGCCCATTTAATTAAATTTAAGGTTGTTTGTACTTAAAACCATTTCGCGAACTAACAGCATTGCAGCTGTTAATAAAAAGAAAGGAAAAAACCTTAAAGAGACTAGCGATAGCGAACATTTCCCTTGGTCGAAACATTGGATGCATAGCTGTTGACTTCTGAAGGTATGTAATTGACCCGAAGCTAAAACATGACCTTAGTGTCTTTCGCGTTTACTTGTACGTGTGGCATAATTGTATGTGTTCTTAGTTTTCTTAATACTTTTTGGTCTACAAAATTCTACAATGTACAGCATAGCGGCTGTTGCCGAATTTTTTGTCGAAAAGTACAAACAATTAAGACGGATTTGGAGCGAATTTAGCTGTTATACAAATATACTATTTCAGTACAATAGAATTGAAATAATGCGTTACCAAAACAATAGTTTAATGTGAAATCCCTCCTTTTCCAAAACACCGGATACCCTTCCAAACGGAAAACTGGTTTTATTAATTTTGAGGATCCATGTGCAAGGAGTTTCAAACTCAAAGTTCTAAAGTATTGATAATGTTAGCAAATGCATTTCAAAGTGAATGAACATGAATATTATTATAGCATATTTGGGGCCTGTTTACATGGAGCGAGTTATCCCGCGGCTAGGCGAGGTAAAAATCGCATCACATCAAAGGCTTAACCTGATTAGTCTTTCATTATATACAGTTTTCACATCGCCTAGCCGGGATAACTCGCTCCATGTAAACAGGCCCTTAGTAATTAAATACATGTCTTACCAGAAATTTACGATACACGTTCAGAATGAATATATTTATTCATGCACTTGGCTCTTATTCGTACACCGAAGTAACGCCGGGTAGAATGAATTTGCAGACATATTCCGTACGTGTTCGTAAACATCCCTGCGTAGCTGTGTTGTATAAGATTTATATACGCACTGCAGTTCCTTCGACGTTTGTGTAGGGATTTAAGTTTCTTTGCATAAAATCCATTTTACGCAAAGACCGCAATTGATTTTGGTATATGAATGTGAAGGTAATAAACTATGGGTTTATAGATGTTTATAACAGTTTCCGGATTGACGATTTATAAAACACAATATAAGGCCCGTTTCAAACGTCGAATTTTCATGTGCCGAACAGTAATGTTAATTAGCTCAAGTCTTTGTTTAAGTTCATTTGCATACAATTCAGCACATAAAAAGTTCAACGTCTGTGACAGGCCTGACATGAACATATAACTGCAAGCCTATTTCTGCTGAACGCTATTTTCACCGACAACAATTTAGGCGTTCAATATTAGGTAAATCAATGTCATGTATAATATCAATATCACATGAATTGAAACTACGATAGTTTTCACGACCTTATCTATAATTTTCATGTTATGTTTAAAAAATGATGTCGCGAGGGAAGAAAATTTTCACTTACAGACATATTTCGACGTAGTTCAAAGTCTTGTTGCACTGTTGCAGATAGAGATGATAAGTTTAGCTGCATGAGGACGATCTTTAATCTGCATTGTCACGATAAGTGCATGATGGGGTAATTGTTCTGATTTGGAATATTGAATCTTCGTGATACAGAGAAACAGGGGCATCAGGATGCAAGCAAAATTTTACAAGTTTAAGAAGCTAGGTCGGATCAAGAACAACTGAACAACCATATGAGAAGATATGTTTGTGTCACAATTCAGTTTGATCTTTGCAAATGTAGCAATTGTTTAGTTTAAAAATACAAACGGGCAATAATATCCTGACATTGCAACTCAAAATTGACCCTTGTCATTATGCAAGTATAAAATATTACAAATAATAAAAGCTGTCTGAGAGTTATACACATAAAAAAACAACGTATTGACAGGCGAAAAAAGGCGTAAAAAATCCAAAGTAAGAAGTTTTTCGGGTGTGTTTTTTATTTTTCACAGTTTTTTAGCCTTTTCCACAGAGGTTTTCACTCATTTTCGCCGTACGTTGCTTTAGTTTTGTCGTTTTGTTTACATTTTTCACAGCTGGCCGGATGCATTCATTTGACAGCGGGCCGGATGCAATATTCCGTCCCGCTGTGGAACGCTTCTCAGCCAAACAGATTGCTTCATTTATACACAGTTAAAAAGTAAATGAAATTATTTATCTATCAGTGGAATCTTGCTCACTTTATTCACGCAAATCATATGTTGCAAAATGATTCTCATTGCAAATGGTTATTGTTAAACTACACGCTAATAAAACGGGGTATATTAAAATGTTAGTGCTAATAAAGTGAATTATACTGTGACTAACATAAAGTACGGCCCTATCTGTAGGGAAATAAATGCATATCTCAACAGAAGCTATTCCGGCAATATTCTGCCTCGGAATAACTAGTATTTTGTTCCGACGTATTCTGCGCGCAATACTATCAGTATTCCGGAAATATTCCGAGGGAATACTACAGAATATCTCTGAATATGAATAATATTCGCGTGGTATAGAGGTCGGAATATGCGGCTTTTCGTCCAGTTAACAAAAACTAAAAGCACACGATATTTTGACAAAACTGTAGCAAAACAATTTCATTTCAACAGCAAGAATATAAGAATATGGATGTATTAATCAATATACATAAAGCAAGGATATACCCGCGTAAAATATCTCACGTCACATAACATATAACAAGTCATCAAGCGGTATGGAATTAAAAAACTGGTTAACTTCAGACAACTTCTAACATCAGACTCGTTACAACGCTTTCCTAGCACGCCATCCAACGTCAATGACATAGAATTTTGACAACTTTCGATTCCGCTTTGTTCTGTCACAATACCCGGGTACAATTCCTAATCTCCGGGCGGAATTAGTACCCCCGTACGGCGCTCAACACCGGCTCGGGGATAATGGCCGGAGTTATAAATATAGGCCAGTGATCATAGACAATTGCCAACCTGGGCTGTTAATAGTGAGCTTAAGCAAGTGACGTTTTTGACAACACGTACGTTCACCGGAAGTAAAGTTTTTGTTTTTCACCAATCACAATCCTTGACCCAGTCTTTTCACGTTACTCATGCCGTTTGTGTTGTCAAAAACGTCGCTTGCTTAAGCTCACTAATGACTTAATAGTTGACCTGCATCTAAGGACGAAAGCGGACTAATATTCATTTATGCAACGTTCTTTCGTCAAAATCCCGAGATCTTATGTCAGTGCATATGCTAATGCGACCTATAAAACAACTTTTGTATGCAGATTGTTTCCTATGAACTTATGATATGATGCTAATTGGCAGCCATTCCTTTGGCTTTGGTTGACGGTTGTCATCTGCATGACTACAAATTTCCCCCGTTATTTCTCGAAAGACGTTTTAAGTCAAATTGTATTATTGCCAGGTAGTCAACAAATATTCCATCGTTATTATGCCTTTGGGACTTTTAATATGAACAGTATTATGGAATGACATTTGTCATATGGATAGCTATACAGTCTTTCACCATACCGAACACAATATTCATAACACAATAATTATACGAACATTAAAAAGCGGTAAAGTAGCGGTAGGTATGTAGATGGTAAACAAAACTTGAAATATATTGTTTAAGTTCACATATAGGACATTTAAATCAACAATTTCGTTCTCCATGGTCACTTTCACACTTGTTGTTTGTTGTATAGGCAGTGAAGCAATTCTTAAATGCAAATTATTTTAATTCGTGGCGTAGTCAGCCTGACAATTTAGTCCCACTATGCTGATATTTTGGTGTTGACAGTGAAAACAATGAATTTCTAAAGAAATGAATAATGTTGATAAAATTTCCATAGCAGGACTAAATCGCCAGTCTGGCTACGCCACTGATTTTCATAGATGAAATTCAGTAAATTATTGATCTAAAAATATTCCTGATTTGCGGTATGTGCTTTTTCCCTTGCGGCTGTGACCAGATTATTGATCGAGGTCTGTAAAACACCGACTAATAAACTCTATACATGTATATTATACATTTACGAGGTCATTCAGTCACACTACATTCTATATCTATCTGACAAGAGCGTTAGGGGAACGCATCTTCTGTTCCAATCTTGCCACGATAAATATTTGCGTATTTCATCCCTACCATATAAATGCATTTATCTAGCTATCAGTTTGAAAGACCCGTTTTGACTTGATCCGTACAAAAGACATGCATATATCGACATTGAATTATTTATATTTAGGATTTCGTCCCCTTTCGTCACAACCAATAACACACATGCATTTTCCCTAAACATGCAAATTTAAAAGCAGCAACCAGTAGGAAGCAGCGGTTTTGCTTAGGCTTACGTCTCGGTAATGATATTAATGAGCCTATAAGTCCCCTTTCGTTCTTAGATGCAGGTCAACTATTAGAATACAAACACCCACACTGCAGACCCTCTATCATATTGAGCTATGACTGGCAGTTTACACCATCGTTTAACAGTAGCGTGGCCAGCCTGTCGATTTGTCCCGCTATGCTAATATTTAATGTTCACTGACTGTGAAAACAATAGATTTCTAAAGATATGAGGAATTATAATAACTCGAAATTTGTCACGCTGGCTACGCCACTGTCGTTTAACTTTAAAAAGGTTTTTTAAAACGTAAATTTATATTTTAATGGAAACTGTTGCTTCAAAAGCAAAGCTTTTACAGTCAACAGCATATATATTCGAAGAATATTTCAGGTTGTATACTTGATGATTTTGTATACAAAATACACGGCTGCTGTGTTTTGTTTACAATTTGTCGACCTCAAAGCTTGGTCTAACCATAGCAGCCTAAATTTGCATGTAACTTTGAACACCAGAAAATTTACATATTTATTCCATTATTCCCGAAATATTTCTCGCGTTCAAATTATCACGCAAATTTTGGCTGCATGTGGTCTAAGGCTCTAAGCATTTACCAGTAACAGTAAACATGTGTTTGAAAGCAACTGGAAATTTCTGATAACATTTGTACTCGCTCTGCTTGGAAAATTCATATATTTTTGTCATATTTGAGTGAGTATTTTATCATATCCGAGGAGAATTATTCATGTTTGTATATAGGGGCCGGGATATTGAACGGTGTATTGCCGGTTTTAAAGGACGCATTCTGTCTTTATCGATCTCAGATTGCCTTCCACTACAATTAATCTAAGTATTCTAAGTATTTCCATGCATGTTTAGGTGATGCTCGATCGCTGTGCAAATCTTCCTTTAAATTGATTGTAATTGGCGAAGTTTAAAAAATATTATTTTGCGACCATTTTGAATATGAATACAATTAACTGCGACTAACCGCTGAGAGTCAGCGGGCGTATATCTGCGATTTCAAAAGTCTTGGGTTTAACCCTTTCACTTTTGCCTTTTACGAGAAGATATTAAAATACATAATTTTGATCTGCGAGCAATCCAGTCTCAACTTCTAATTCCCAGTATTGGTTGGAAAATTTTTCCAAAAGAGTTTCTACATGATGTAAAAATAGAAGACTCGCATCCCCCTGATAATTCCACCATTATCACTATTTTAAAAGCAATGCTTAATTAGAAACAGTGACAAGATCCCGTTTAACCACTTCGAGATTACTTCCACAAGGTATTTTCCAGCAAGGTTTGCCAAGTAACTGAATAAATATGCCAAATGTCACCATAATAATCTTTTAGAGCCTTTTGCAAGAAATAATTAGCTTGTGGGGGGGGGTCATCTAAAAGGCCAAGCAGAAAATTGGTAAAGTTGAGACTTAGAAGCTTCAGGGCAGTCTTGGGGGGGAGGGGGGTTGGTGACTAAACTAAATGTAATTGAACTCGGCCAGCACATGAAAAATAAAGCTAGTAACACATGGTAAGCCACTGATTTGGTTTTCAGATACCATTGTTTATTAACATGAAAGTCGTTATATTCTTTGTCTGGATTATTTGCCTGGCTGAAGCAAAAATCGAGCAAAAAGGTACGTAAATAATGTGAATCACATCAAGATATTTTTTAAAAAGCTTTTAAACTTTTTGTGCAAAACGACTTCGGGTTTTTCATCTATAGAATGCTCACATGAAGGGGAAAGAGAACCGAGTCGAAAGTACTCGAGAAATGCTGGTATGTTTTTTATTTGCGTGAAACGTTTGGTTCTTTATTTTCAAATTTAGTTGATTTGTTTGAGTAGGGAAGAACAACATTCCTATAAATGCTTTTCCCGTAACAGCTTTCTCTTCAGGGTGGGGTCAGCCGGTCAGATAGCTGTGTGAGGAAATATCAATTAATATTTCATAACCTAAACACTTCTCAACGTTTCGACCTGAGGGCCTTTGTTGTTTGAAGACGTTTCCACGCTGCTCCCTGGTCATATTGCCCAAAATCTAGTTAGACTGCCCCCCCTGGTATAAATGTAATAATCATTAAAATCAGGTGAGGCGGTTTATGTTCATCTGTCCGAATCCTGTAATAAAAATTACCAGATCTGGCTTAAAGTACCATAAGAAGATGTATTAGTTGTAAATCTTCATATATTTCTACTAGGTGATGATGTGAAAGGCCCGGACATTTCCAAGATAGCGAGAACGAGCACGCAGATAACCGTGTTCTGGAATCGTATATTGAGTCCCAAGATAGAAAAGTACAAAGTTTGTTATGGAACAACAATCACAGAGGCCAACGATTGTTCGTCGGAAAAGGTAGTCGATGGCAATAGTGATAATGCGATTCTTGATAACCTGGTTTCGTCCACAGACTACACTATGGCTGTAAGAGCATCTACCACCACCGATAATAGTGCCAATTATGTGTACGGAGATCCAGGCAAACCGTTGACAGCAAAAACATGTAAGTTTTCAAATAACTATATAGTTTAATTGATTAAAATATAATTGCTTGTGTTTATTCAGCCTAGATTTACCGTCGTACCTCTTTGATAAAGACCTCAAGGTCTTTAGGGCCTCAATGACGCCAACCACAACGATATCAGTCGAATAGTGAAAGTGCTTTTGATTAAAGTTGACGAGTCCTAAAGCCCTGGTCAAACGAGAATGACAGTTGATGAGAGTTGAGAAGTGAGAGTTCGCACCAGAGTTTTCCAAACTCTCGATGCGACGGTCAAACGAGAATGAGAGTTGATGAGAGTTGAGAACGAGAATTCGCACGAGAGTTTTCCAAACATTTTGCACAATTGTTCTGTCACTAGTCAGAGTCTCGTCTGCTACGAAATGCAAACCGCTACCAAACTCTCATCAACTCTCATCAAAATTTGAACCAGTTCAAAGTCGATGAGAGTTGATGAGAGTGCACGAGAGTGTATGAGAGTTCGCGTTCAAACGCAAGCGAGAGTTGCAACTCTTATCAACTATCATCAACTATCATTCTCGTTTGACCAGGGCTTAAGGCATTTCTCTTTTACAGCAAAAATGCCAAGGACAGACAGATTACTTCCGATTTTAAGTGTATTGTGGACCCAAAACTTAACTAGTGTTGCAAGTCAACCAGCAACCAAAACGTTCACCGCTAAATGATTGACAAAAACTCTCTTAAGAATATAAAAGAGGACCCTATAACGTTCTAACGGTTCCATTTCAACCTTGAGGGAATTTATATCCAAAGTTTCCAGATGAAGGCCGGGGTCAATTTTCATAACTTTGAAAATAAATTCCTTTATACCATTTCTTAGCTTGTGAAACTGACGGGAACTGCAACAGCGTTACATTGAGATGTGGACATTGTAGTTGCGTGTGTAAAGTTGACAGTGAGCAATGCAAAGGTAAATCTACCTTGTCTTGAGAGAGTGGGAATAAACTCAGGAAAATACTCTCTTTGATAATTTTAAATTTGAAGAGCAGTTTAGGAAGCAATCAAATGTCAATAATAAATATTTCTTCGCTTGACATTTTGCCTAAACAAAACGATTCTTTAGCTGCACTTTGTTAAATTAAACAAATCCATTGTTGCAAACAGTCGAGCGAATTAAATGCTTACACTTTGCCCTATAATAATGGGTTAATCCACACTGCATATTTCAAAGCTAACTCGTAATCTCCTAAATATTTAATTTGGATGAATCTCCAAGTTAGTTTTCTTCTCAAAACATGCTCGGTATGAAATTCAAATGCTGTTTGTCCACGTTTTCATGTTCATGTTTTCATCTTTAGTCGGTCCTGAAATTTACAGAACAGAACGAACGAGCAGCACTTTGAAGGTCTTCTGGAATCATCTGGATGACAGCATTTCAGGATACATTGTTGGTTACCTTGAATTGAAATCGTCTGGACCGAACGATTGTTCTTCAGACGAAGTAACAGAAGTTGCCGGGGAAATGAACAATGCTGTCCTAGTTGGTTTGAAATCATACACAGAATATTCAGTTGCTGTTAAACCACTGGACGACGAGGGTGTTCCAGGAGAATGGGGAGAAGCTGTCACAGTTAGAACATGTAAGTTGTTCACATGATAACGCAGTCAAACCTGTAACATTAGCTACGAAGGCGTCTCGCTATAAGGCTTTTCATCCATAAGGCAGTACTTTTACAAAGGGTTGCTAAATATGCATATCCATTATTATATCTATATACATATACAAATCCATATTTTGATTAAAATCTTATTACCTTTTGAAGCAAAATCTTCTTCAGTATTTTGTTCTGTTATAAGAAAACGTGATTATAAAATTTCGATTGGCTTTACAAGAAATAACGAAAGAATATAGAGTGCTATACAAAGTTGGCCTCCATTCTGTTGATATATTTCCATAGTCTTTCCCAGAGGTCAGATCAACTAGCTTTCTACTAACCTTTGATGTTATTTAGCTTGTAAATCAAACACTGAATGCACACATCTGAGTCATGCGATATGTTTGAACGGCAAATGTGAATGTGATGATGGGTATTTAATGGATGATGATCAATGCAGAAGTAAGTAAAATTGGGAGAAGATACATGTAGAAAGTCTCATAGGCCTAGATTTTAGTGATCAACTATGGTCATCCAGTACTAGGCTTAAGAGTACTACTATATATTCCTTATTGTATATACTCTACTGTATATTCCTCAGAAAATTATTCTTGTAAATATCGCCATGCAAAATTGCAAGACTACTATCAACTTATTTATGTTTTCATGAAGAAATAACTTGTGATGATCAGCCTTGTGGTAACATCGGAATATGTGAGACAGACTTGCAAACAGGAAAATTTGATTGTAAATGTCCGGATGATTCATTTGGGAACGGATATCATTGCTATAGTATGTTTTTTTATTTATTTTATTTCGTAACTTGTAGTATGGAGCCAAAGCTGAAATATTTTTAATAAGGCCCCTGCGTAGCCATAACTGCATCGTCAGTCTGGCTACACTACCGTTATCGATTAGTTATTGGTGAAGGGGTCATCGTTTATTACAGATATTTCTGTATGCCCAACATAGGTGTTTTGGTATGCCATGCATGCAGAGCTACGTTATCGGCTGGCTAAATACACGCCAAACACCTTCATTAGTGAACACTGAACAAAGAAACACATAAAAAAGCTACACATAACTGTGTTTGACTAATTTTCACCCAAACTGGAAACCCTGATTTTCATCTTTACTCTCTTAAAATCACCAACGATGTTTTTAGGCACGCCATGTTATAGCTCGCCTTGTCAAAATGGGGGAAGTTGTAAAGCGAAAGAAAACGCAGCATCTGGGGAGCCTGATTACCAATGTGTTTGCCCAATAGGATTCTCTGGAGATAATTGTGAAGTCATGGAAATAGGTAGAAGCTTAGTGTGGCTTCCATGCATGGAGATGAAATTGATGATTTAGGTTTGGAATATTTGAACAATAAATTTTTTTTGTGGAGAAGAAAATGGGGATAAGTTGCAAAAATTACTAGCTATATAGTAAAATGTATCATTCTTAATCAAAATACAACAGCTTTTACAGAATTGATTTCACATCATAATTACTCACTTTTTAAATGTCACTGATCCTTTCAAGTCGTATATGTCATATATTTGCTTTTCAGAATATCCCTGTGGAAGACGAATTTGGAATATTCCTTATTGTAAAGACGATGGACCGATTACAGGTAATCCATTGGTGAATAATATTGATGTCGTCTCACTCGTCTTCGAAATATGAAGAAGTCTCGGTGTACTAATAAGTCAAAACTTAAACGACAATAAAACTTTGTTTGAAGAAGTATCCATATACAGATTACTATGTTTGTCAAGAAAAAGACAACTTATATTCCTAACTTCAGCCATAGTGGTAATTCAAAATCCTTCCTCTACACGATTTTCTTTACGTCTAAACTATGACAGAAGTGTGGATGATTCTTTTTTGACATGTAGAGACATGCAATGACACACCCTGTCAGAACAACGGTATATGTTTGCCAATACATACTGGTCGGTACAACTACGCGTGTGAATGCCAACCAGGATTTGCTGGGCGAACATGCGAAGCAGGTAAATTATGACAGAGATTCCAACTCCTGCAAATTCTATGGTTATATATGCCCGTGTACGAAAAAGTAAAATTCTTAGATTGACGCAGTGGAAATAGTGCAGAAACTGATTCTTCAGATCGATTATAGGTTAATTTGAAACAACATTTTTAGATTTACTAGTTAGACCCAGATTTTTGAAGTGAATGCACTTATTGTGTGAACTAATTATCCGTCTATCGCTTTTTGTAGAAATAAATGAGCAATGCAGTGGAAAAGGAATTTGCAGATTGAAACTCAACGACGCGCAACAATGTCTGAATGTAGGATGCAATTGCTTCATGGGATATAGCGGTGATCAATGTTCAGTAAAAAGTAAGTTAGCGCTATCGATGTCTGCATGGAGCTCTTTTGGGCGAGAAAAGATTGTGTGGAATAAAACGTTGGAAAAGATTTTTCCAATTAAGAAACTCTCTACTTTAACAATTTCAATTCTAACGTTTGCCATATTTAAAAGATCAGACATAATTAAAGGACTTTAGGTAAAAGTTGGCCGACAAAACATTACCCGCCTATTGTGAAATTTTAAAGTTTTTTTTTACTGAAATTCATTATGAAATCCAGCTCCTATTTCTTTATTGCAGATACAGAATGCAATAATGACGGTGATTGTAGAAATGGTGGAACATGCAGCGCTGAAAAAAAGTGTGATTGCGCTCTTGGTTTTAAAGGCGTTTTTTGTGACGAACGAGGTAGCAGAAAGATTCTAATTATTTTGATATGTTCATTTATTGTTCAGTCTATGATAAAAATGGGCCATTCTGATTTGTAGCAGGTCAAAAATAATGCAAAAAGAACGCTAAAACAAATTATTGATGCTAAACATGTAACTGCTTCTGTTGTTATCGTAGTTTATAATCTCTCTTGTGTTTTTTGCAGAACACAATTCCTATATTAACTTTCCTCGGATTCATTTCGCTGGAAGATTCCAAAGTGAACCGTCAACCCCAAATAATTACGCGGATAATTTTGATACCCAAGACTTTCCTGGAAAAGACCAAGGATGGAATCCATTTGGGGGAGCAACATGGCGGCTGCTGGACACAAGAATTACAAGAGTTTGTTATGCAAACGAAGTTTGCACTTCTGGGGAATTCCATGACCCTCTTATAAACAAAAATCTTGAGGGTAATATATTTTCAGATATTAACAGGGGGGTGTTGGCCCGAGCACAACAGGGGTTTCTTTGGAGTTATACCCAAGTATTAGAAGTATTATAATCAATGTTTCTTCGGTGTTTATTGTACAAAGATCATATTTAGGTAGGGATTGTCCTGATATTTTATGAGCTTCGTAAAATGGTAGGCCGTATTACACGCCGATATCTTAAAATAAAGTTTTTATCATATCATTATTATCCGCCATTTTTTGTCTAAGAATTTTGATTTCGCCTTGGTCTAAACCAAGAAAAAATAGTCAGCCATGTATTACAGCGTAGAAAATACTGTTACAAATCCCCAATTGGTAAATTTTGTCGTAAAATTTGATAAATAATTGACAGTATCATTTCAGCTATACGAATAATGTACGTTTTTCTTCTTCCAAAACTACAGATGGCAATCTTGGCGCCAGTGCGAAGCTGGTTGACCTTGATGTTGAATTCCAATCAGCGTCTGAAATTTATGGTTGGTCAATGCAAGTCAACAACTTTTTTAAAGCAGATTTTAAGCGTGTTGGGTTTCGATATATGTGGTCAAAAATGAAAGGGGGTGAACCCAGTATGGCAAAATATGGAGCTATATATCAAAGTGTTCTTACAAATGTTCAATTTGGAACAAGAAGCGAGGAATCTCCGATAACGAAATACTTAAAAGAATACTTAAATCGCAGTAACAAAAAAGAATTATCAATCCGTTTCAACGTTGACATGTACGATTCGTTTGCTACCTCAGGTAACTACACCTACGCAAGAATGGTTGGTTCCATTGGAATTTCTGGTTATAATTCGCCGCCGTTTGTCAATTTTGGCCGTATGCTTAGACCAAATGGAAACAATCCAAACTTTTGGGTCTCTCCTTTTGTTTATGATCACCAGAAGGGATCTCTTCTTCTTGATCTTGGTAATAGTTTAGCGATCACAGAAGACGGAAATCTTGTGAAGTCAATTGGAAACTTGGCTCTAGCGTATACTGGTAGCACAGAGGACACAATAAAATGCCCGGAAACATGGAAACCATTTGGCCACATACACTTTAGTGACTTGGAAAAGTACGAGCTGACTGCTGGAATACTTAAGCTGGATGTTTTGGGAGCTGACTTGAGTGCATCCAGAGTGATTTTGGCAAAGGTAAGGTTCTCAATCCTTCTTCAATTTATGGTTTTTGAAATTAAACTCAAGTTAACATTTTATTTGTCTAACGATTCTGTTGGAAAGAGTCTGATTTGATAATATTGAACGTTACTACATTACGGCATATATGCCTGATAATTAATTGCATCTGCGGCCGGAACATGAGAAATGTTCATAAGGCTGTCCAGTGAGTCAGTCTAAAAGTCCATTAGCAATCAGACAGGTATGCGTGATTATTTGGTTAGTAAAAACCCTACTGGTATTTTTGGCGTGAATTACTTGGCTGCATGGATAATTATATTTGAAAGAGTACGTGCATGTCCTCATGCATGGAAGAAGAGAGCTGTAACTGGAAAAAAATAAATGGCTATAACTTTAAATTCTGTCATAAAAACAAGGAAAAGCACAAATTTATACAAATTTGCACAAATTTATAGCTTTTGAACACATGTATATAAACAATAGTATACAACAGTATATTCGGTCTAATCATCAAACGCACCCCTTCATTTTTTTAGCCGAGGCAAAGTAATTTTAAGATTGGTTAAAAAAATGGGCGATTCGTTCTCCCTCTCCCCTCCTCCAAGCAGTCTAACAAATAATTTGTTCAATATGGAACGTTTATGTTAGGGCGAATGTTCAAAATCTATATGTAGCAAATTTCATGACGTTTGTCAATGTATCAAGGCGATGTATTTTTCCAAAATAAATGCTTTTTTAAAACAGTCGTGGACAAAAGTAGTAAACGTTTTTCTATTTCTTAAAGGAACACTCATATCTGAATTAAATTATGACGAGTTTCATTTGAAAAAAAAATTCAACGTTATTCATAGTTATCTTATAAGTTGAAGATTCCAAATATAGTCGATAGATGCTATACACAGACACAGTAGGGTATACTCTGAATAAAGTTTTGACTGCTCTTATTTACAGGTAGATGATAAAGGAGATTGTTCTGAGGTTGTCTTAGCAGAAGACAAAGAAGGTGTCTTCATCCACCCTCTAACAAATTGGGTCATCCGCGCTGTGCCCGAGGAAACTGTGACTGCTTACTTGCTTATGACTGTTTATGGAAATTACCCTTCTCAAGATGATTCCTTTGAGATTATGGTCTCCCCGTCTGGGACAATCACCAAGAAAGAACATGGAGTTTTTGAATTCACTAAGACCACTGAAGACCCAAACCACGAAAGACTCTTCATCGATGGAAAGGTTTGTTTCTTCAAATATTATTTATCTGGACGAAACCCACCTGCAGATGGTGATGTTAATTCAGCAATCACCATTCTTGTCTGGGACAAATTTGAGGTTCCAACTCAGCCTAACTGGATCAGACATGTACAACCGATTTTCAAACAATACGCAAATTTGTATCCGGTAATGAAAATCAACTTTCTGGATCTTTCAAATTATTTTGATGTCGTTGAAAACAAGTACGCAATCATAAAGACCATGTCTGTTGACGTCGAAGATCCACGTTATATGCCCGTCACAAGAGACATGTCTCCAGGTAAAGTTCAGATGATTTTAAAATGGCTAAAGGATGATCCACCCAGATATGGATATTCAAATCTCGGAGTAGACATGTACACCTTGAAAAGCCTTTTACAGACAGCACTTCAGTTGGAACACGCAACCATTCCTCCGTACTTTACAGGTTATCTTTCAATAATGAAGGGTTATAATACTGAGGTGAAAAGCATGTTAAAGGACATTTTGATCGATGAAATGCATCACATGGCGCAAGTATCAAACATTTTGAATGCGATTGACGGAAATCCCAACCTGTTTGCTCCACATTTTGTCGCGTCATACCCCAGCTATCTGCCCGGTGGAGTCCATCCTGATGTCAAAATCACTGTCAACAAAATCTCCAAGCTTCAAATTCGTAATGTGTTCATGGTTCTAGAAACCCCGGCTAAGGAACTCGAAGAAAATGGATTGATTAAAGCGGTTGATCAAATTATTAAGGATAAGTTATTTGCAACAACCGCCGCCACATCAACTAAACCTGCCGCATGCGAAGATGTCTTAACATTGTATAATGATGCCGTTAGGAAGAACGAAGACATTAGAACAAACCAGAACACAATTGGTGGATTGTATACCATAATCCTTATCGTGATGGCAAAGCTTGAGTGTGATGGACTATTAACTTTCAACGGTAAGAAGCCTCAGCTCGAGGTTCGAGGAGAAAGAGGAAAGGAAGTGATAAAAATCCACGATTTTGGTACGGCCGTGCAAGCTATTAAAAATATCATCGAGGAAGGTGAGGGATCCTCCCCTTGTAATCCGCTGGACGAGAGCACCGATTTATCACATTACTACAAATTTGGATCAATCGCGAACAAACGTCATATCAAAACGATCGAGAAGGATAAGAAGGTTAGTACGAGTTTTAAGTCCTCCCTCATACCTAGAAATCAGTGAAAGATTTTGCACTTGCTTAAATACGTTGAAACCACTTATTTTGAATTTTTGGGGATAAGAAATCAATATCATTTGGACAGTTTTTACGTGCATAGTCTTCAATGATAGCAGGCTCAATCAGCGTTAACAATCCTTCAGTATTTTAAGCAAGTAATTATACAAAACTCGACAATTTTTTTATTTGTTTAGGATAAATCTACACATCCTGATAACGTAAGTACTTAGACAAACTCATTGACAAACTCATTTATCAATCTTTGTTACACTGTACCGCATGAGGATTTTGCGGTGGATTATTACGCTGCGCTACAATCCCGGAAAAAAATTCGTAGACTTTTCTAATTTAGATGTTATTTTCCCCCTCCCCCCCCATTACAATGTTGAACTAGTGTTGTATCTCTTCCAAATTGTCATTAAACTGAACAACATTGTAATGAGGGGAAGGGGGGGGGGAATTAATGGCAACTTGCTTCTTGGTTGAGAGAATTGGTACATTTGCTGTACGTAACTGGAAATCTGGTTAGACTTCGAAAAAAGTCTCCCAATATTTTTTCCAAGATTGTAGCTTCAGATTTCAGATCATCCCACAAAATATGAAACGTCATTTGAGAGACGATTTTCTACCCGAAATTTTGTAACTATCTGGATGTTCTCACTTTTTATCCATATTACATCACAGCATATTACATTTTATCACCATCCAAATTATTCTCAACCACGAATTAAATTCCATCACGAACTATTCGCACTTTACTACAAAGCAAGTTTTTGAAACGCCAACAGGAGTTAAAATGAATCTTGAAAAAGTTTTGTTGTATTTGATCAAACTGTTGTTATTAAACAGAGAATGGCAAGAACTAACCAGGAAACCGTAATAGATGCTGATATCCAATGCAAATTCTTGCTCAAAAACAAGTTTTACTTTCCTTTTTCTACAGGAATGCACAGGACCGTATGCAGACACCTTTGCATATATTGGAAGAGTTCTGCCTTTCAGTGAAGATGGTGTTTGGCCGATCGTTGATAATCCCATGATGTCGATGTACAAGGAAGGAAGTCGAGCTAAGAACGTGGCAAAACTATTCAGCAAAGCGTATTGGAGGTTGTTGAAAGCATTGCAAAATGTTTTCGATGGAAAAACGTTTCTGTTTGGCGATACAGTAGCAATCATGAAAGATTTGCTGATGCATGGTAACAGGTTGGTTCAAACACCAATTGGAGAGAATGGAGATCCTGAAGTTGGTCCGAATGCAGGTCCTGTCTATCCAACCGAAGAACCAGATCCGTAAATCCTTCTGATTGAACAGTTTGATTTCTTTGTTGTGTGCATAAACAGGAAAGTGAAACTATCTTATCACAGATGGTGATTAAATGATGAATACCAAAGGACAGTTATTAAAGCAATTATTGTTCGTTTGGTAGGATGCCATTTCTAATCTGACATTAATTAATACTATTTTTTCGTGTATTACTATAATAAGTGTTCGTAATTTCTTTAACGTATTTGCAAAAAGGTATTGTTTGATTATATTATTACGCGCTAGGGGGCATAAGGTCAGTGACGTCTATTCAAAATAGTTGAGTGTAGCGATGTAAACAGTATAACACGAATTTTAATCTACATGTAGCCACAGCATGATCATTAACTTTAGTCTGACACTAACCCCCATTAATTCATGCGTGAAATTTGTTAAAGATTTTGTATATTAGACTTTCAATAAAATTTTGTTGATCAGTATATTTTGGTTTACAAAATTTTGTATGCATTTTCAGCGATACAAATTGTTACATATGTGTAGCTGTTATTAATTAAAATATGTATTTCCAATGGACTAAATTTATTGCAGATTGTATAAAAAGCGCATGTAATGTTTGTACATGAATACTTTTTGGTATTTCAAAGTAGATGTAAGAAAATGTAAGTGCAAATGAGCCCAAGCACTGCCAAGCAGACTTTCCGAATCGTGATTCCAATTGCCAGACGTATTTATTTTTAACAGGTGGCAATTTTTCGTTTAAATGAAGGTGGCGTCAGGTTTTATGCAACAAACAACGTTTATACCTTAGCAAGCTCACGCTATTGCCGCCTATGATAGTATGGCGCATGCAAACAGTACAAAACCAGAATTAATTCGCGAATCTTTATTTCTGATACAAGCTGCCCGTTTGACTTCTGTGTTTTTGAGATTCAGCCTTTTGTTGTTGTTGGTATTTTCGAATCTTCAAATTTTTGGCAATGCACTCGACTTTTGCTTCGACGGATCTAGGGAAGGTGAGGTTTTCGACATTTTTAACGATACCCAAAAAACTTGTTTTAGATGTTTTTATCGATTTTATACTAACCATAACGTAAACTAACCCAATCAGTTCACGAATTGACCCATAATATATTGTAAATAGTAAGTAGTAATTCAGTAGTGGAAACTTTAATATGTTCCTCAATGTGCACATAACATATAATAAGTAATAATTCAGAACCTAATCATTAGTTAATTAATTCACTACCAATGTTTTCGTCAATTTACAAAGGTTTCCGTTTGAACATCGATCCTATGGAAATTATTCACGCCAAGTCGGGAGCGGAATGCGCTATGAAATGTGCAGCAAAAAATGGATGCAGATCTGTTAACTTCAAAAAACTGAAAAGTTGTGAAGAAATAGAAAACTGCGAGTTACTCACAATGGTTGATTCAGAAGCAGCTTCTGGGCTCCTCATTGAAGATGAGGAATATGATTATTATATACTACTGGATTGTAACGGAGTAAGTATACAAAAAATTTTATGCTATATTCCTGATACCATCAAGGCTTCATCAATACTGCTTGCATCTGACAAGAAATGTTAAACGTTCCCCAGAAAGACATGAAAGAACGTATCAGATGCTCACAAAAAGTTAGGTTCATGCAAAAATATCAACATGCAAAAAATTGCGAAGTGTTATTTTAAAAAAAATGAAATTAATAACTATTAAGTGATGCATTCATGTTTATCATGAGGCCCCGTGGAACTTTTTTATTTACTTAAATGCAATGTTTAGCCTTTAATTCTTCGCCGTAGGTATAAATGTACTTAAAGCCTATTTTAAATGGCGAATTTCGCAAATACAAGTATTTGACTAGACAGGTGTTTTCATAAATGTATAGCCTTTTATGGAATTTAAATTAAACAGGAATATCTTGCGATAATTCGATTGATGTATCAGTAATCGACTGATTGGCTAATTGGGAATTTTTTTGGTCGCATTAACAAATTTTAGGCTGCTTTGCATTCATTCTCATCAGCAATTCATGTTATCTCGGTCAAATTTCTCTGCTACAGCCTACAATCGACATGTTGACAAATGCTTTGCCCTGGTGGATCTACTTTTGAATTAAAAAGGGACTAATTATTTGTTCCAAGGAATGCCACTAAAATAAAAATGTCGTCTTTAGGTTGTCTTCGTCCTGACTTTTCTTTCTTAGAAGAAAACAGCAGGTCCAAGCAATATTTAAATTGCAAAATTGCACAATAAATGAAAAATGTCTCTTTCTATAATATCATGTACAGCATCGCCAACTGAAATGATGATGATAGGATTAGACAATACTAATTGGCATGCGACGGGCGCTTCTGATGTGTCAATATTGACATCTGTATAAAATTCTGTCAAAAATTGCGTATATCGATAATTTCGACAGACGTATTTTTATAACATAAGTACCTGTAACGTCTAGCAAGCTCAGCGAGTCAGCGACAGTACCTGTAATGCGTCGAATGCACAAAACTATCTTAAAATAAGTTCAAAGCTTAGCTCTTGTCTCTCAAAGTTTAGGTTTAGCTCTTGATTAATTTCCCCCCCAAACACTTTTGTCAAAATTCGTTGAAAAAACTTGTTATTTTAACGCCGAAATAGGCTCCTGTCACTGTTATCTTCATTGCAGGAGACAAACATCTGCAAAACATTATTTTAGTATATCACTGGTATTATTCATAATTGTATTTATGGAAAGAAATTTGCGTTTTTCCTTAGTTTCAAGGGGCCGGTTGTATATGAAACAATTTAACTACATTTTGCATAATTCTAGAGGTTCAAAGGGTCTTAATTTCGAATGGAATTATACCGGCACTTCAAATTCAAGCCAGGAACAGTTGATGGAAAAATGAGTCAACTACCGGTATTCCGGCTGATGCATGGCCTCTGTAGCTCAGTGGCAAGAACATTGCACCGGTATCGCAAAGGCTTAGGCTCGATTCCTGTCGGAGGACCGATAGTTGACTCATTTTCCATGAACTGTTCCTGGCTTGAATTTGAAGTGTGTATAATTCCGCTCGAAATTAAGACCCTTTGAACCTCTAGAATTTACCAGCATCGAGTGAAGTGCCAAAAATCATAATTGATTTCCATTTTGAATATTTAAATTCAGAAATACACGGCTCTGATTGGCCAATTCTGTCTTTAACTACGGCTAAAAGTTAACTGGGCTTTTTTACAACTGGCCCCAGCCAAATAAAATTGTTGTGGTCAGATACGGAACTTGTGTCATCCTAATTTTAAAATATTGACATTTTCGACGAATCTAAGGGGTATTTTACACAGCTAGAACTAGTGAAAGTATTCCTAATCAACCATCGAAAACAATTTGAAAAATATGTCAGTCACGGCGTTACCATAGCAACAGAAGTGCTGTTAAAAAGTTTCATTTTTAGTCATCGCCAATTTAGAAGCAATGCAGTGAACTCTAATACAAATGGAATGCTAACTATCTTTAAATATAAGTATTTTAAAAGCAAAATCCGAACTGTTTCTTTGCTAGAAGCTTAGAAACACGGAAACGGTTTATCTGAAATATTCTTCTTTTAGCTAAAGCCTTGGTTTATGAATATGTCGTAACGTGATAAGTATAGGGAGCCACTTTAAGCGAAATTTTTTTCATTTGTTTCTAGAAACCATTGGATGCTGTTCCACCAGCTCAAAATCAACGTGAGGGTTACTTACATGCTTGTAGTCTGTTCATAAAGAGAGTGTATACAGCAACACAAAGCTAGTCAAATCTTAATTCTGCTTACTTTATTATCCCAAAATGCAATAGTTCTTTGCTACATGAAAAATGGGGAGCTTTAGCAGCGACTACGAGTACGAGATTTGTCACTCTCGTGCGTTGTTTGCTTACGCCATCAGCCAAAACTCGTAGTCGCCGGGCTTTTTTTTGAGCACGTGTAAATTTCGTACTCGAGTACCCAACGACTACGAGTTTTAGCTGATGGCGTAATCAACAACGATTTTCTATCAACGTTAATATAATTAATAATATAATTAATTACTAAAATTCACATCGAGCAAGCAGGAGATTTGAAGACTCATTTTGAAAAGAAAAACTTATAAACTTTTAATAATACGACCTGTATTCATAATTGAAGCCAATTCTCTGAAAAGGACTACCCATAATTGCCTTAGGGATCTCTTTTCCAAAAGAATAGCCTATATACATTTCGCCTTTTTAGCGCTTGAAATGCTGCCATCGTCTTGTAAAGAACAGTTTGAAAGAAACAGGTAAGTAAAGAACACCGCAGTTACATTGTTGTTTGAGCATTGTGCACTCTCTTGTACAACACTACCAGCCCGGCACGAATCAAACAGACGCCGGCCCGAGTTGTAATCGTGCTAGGCTAATAAATTAAGTGCAATTTAAATGGAGATAATATTTTTAAAGGTTTGGGACATTTCGGCATCCCAACACAGTTTAATGAATCCTGTTTATAGCAATATTGGAATAAACTTATCGTTTTTAGCCGTGTAACATAGCTAAGTTTCATTCTTGCCTATAGATCCTCACCAAATGGCGTCTACAACTTAAAGCACAACGAATCACTCCAGTATTATCCCGTTTACTGCAACATGGCTGAAATACACGGGTGCGGAGAAGGAGGCTGGACACTAGTAATGAAAATTGATGGCAACAAGGTGATGTAAATTTTAGTTTAGAAAAATAGCTACCAATCTATACCTTTTTAAAGGAATTAACAGGTCATTCCATTTATTAGAATGAGTTCAGCTATGACTCTGCATATTGGACAAACAAGGAGACATACAATGTCGAAGGCGGTCTTAAAGGTTTGACGGAAGACCAAACGAAATTGGCTTCTTACTGGAACATACCGTTCAAAAAAATATGCCTCGGAATGGAAGTCGACGATGAAGAAAGATGGACCGTGTTGAACTACACCGCAATTTCGTTATACGACGTAATCGTCGACGGGTCTTTTAAATCAACAAAAGCTGGAAGGAAAGCATGGGAATCTCTTATTTTTGGTTCAGCTTTGCAGAAAAACTGCAATCAAGAAGGGTTTAATATAAAAATCGAAAAATACTACGGTAATGCCTCCACGAATGTAAGGATCGGGCTGGTGGCAAATAATCAAAACGACTGTAAGACTTGCAATTCGTGTATTGGCTTTGGCACTTTCATGCGTGGGTGTTATGAAGATTCGCCAAGGAACACGTCTTGTGGTAACATAGCTGTTTGTAGGGTTCTTAGTAATAAGAACATTGCAGCATTTGGGTTCATACTTGTGCAGTAGTTATGACACCATCTTGCCTCAACGTTAGCGGTTTAAACAAGCTTTCCCGTCTGGCGATGAACTAAAGCATAGAGACGTCTAAAGACGTCCAACATTTTTAGTAGCTCCAAAGACACGTAATTTAGTTTTATAGCCGGGTAGCCTAGTAATATTTTCCAGTTTATTTTTGACTCCATTGGTTCATATTGTCAAATATTACCCGCAATTTTTTTTGTTTAAAGCAATCTAACGTCAAGGTCAAAGGTTATGCACTTTACCGGTCTGGCGATGATCTGAGCATAGAGACGTTTAGCATCGTTTTGTAGGTCTAAAGACACGTCATTTAGTTTTATAGTCGCAGTAATCTTAGCAGTTTTATTTTATTCTTATTACCTGCAATTTTTTTGAACAGGCATTCAGCCAGTTTTAAAACTTTATATTTGTAGATTGACAGTTAAATTAAAGAAAGTGTCATGTTTTGATTTCAATTTTGAAAATGGTAAATTTAGTGGAATGGGAAACTTCGTTTAGCGCTCTCGCATAACATAATTGACAGCGATCATTCGGCTGTAGAATAACAGGCACAGTTACAAACTTCCGGCCGTAAGTATACAAAATTCGTCAACTTCGCATAGCTATATTTTCTGTAATTTACAACAATACGCAGCCAAAATTGACAGTTTTACTAATTTTAGTAAGCTCTTTCAGAAAATGTCCTTTTTATCTCCGAGGTAGGAAATTAGTCTAAGGCGCAAGTCGTCCAATATTAACAAATTTTAGGCTGCTTTGCATTCATTCAAACATTCTCATCTGCAATTCATGTTATCTCGGTCAAATGTTTCTGCTACAGTTGAGTCGACATGTGACAAAAGCTTTGCCCTGGTAGATGCTACTTTTGAATTAAAAAGGGACTAATTATTTGTTCAAAGGAATGCCACTAAAATAAAAATGTCGTCTTTAGGTTGTCTTCGTCCTGACTTTTCTTTCTTAGAAGAGAACAACAGGTCCAAGCAATATTTAAATTGCAAATATTACACAATAAATGAAAAATGTCTCTTTCTATAATATCATGTACAGCATGAACTGAAATGATGATAGGATTTTTTGACGAAACATAATTAGCAAAATGAAAATACAATTAGCATGCGACAGACGGCTTCTCATGTGTCAATATTGACATCTGTATAAAATTCTGCCAAAAAATCCGTATATCGATAATTTCGACAAACGTATTTTTACAACATAAGTACTTGTAACGTCTAGTAAGCACAGCGACTTCTAAAAATGGTTTTTAGTAAGCTCAGCGAGTGCTAAAAATGCTAAAAATGGCTTCCTAAAACTAATATCTTTCATTTTAGAGCATATTTGGTTAGTTTTTGGAACATTGAGAAAGTCGTCAACTTTGACCAAAATGGTAAGGCTTACCCCTTACCATTTTGGTCAATTTTGACGACTTTTTCAACTGTTCAACAACTGTCTTAAAATGCTAAAAATGGCTTCCTAAGAATAATATCTTTCATTTTAGAGCATATTTGGTTGGTTTTTGGAACTTTCAAAAACCATCAAAATTAGCCAAAATAAGGCATACCCCACCATTTTGGTCAATTTTGACGACTTTTTGAACTGTTCAAAAACTGTCTTAAAATGCTAAAAATGGCTCCCTAAGACTAATATCTTTGATTTTAGAGCATATTTGGTTGCTTTTTGAAACATTGAAAAAGTCGTCAATTTTGACCAAAATGGTAAGGCTTACCCCTTACCATTTTGGTCAATTTTGACGACTTTTTGAACTGTTCAAAAACTGTCTTAAAATGCTAAAATTATCTTCCTGTGTTAGGACAGTGGCTAGTCCGTAGACGTTGGTGGTTCAAGCCCTTGCAGTGTTAAAACATGAGTTACGAATTCTTGTTTAATTTAAAGTCTCCAAAGAAAGGATTAAACGAAATAAAAAACTTTCGCCTTTCACCACAAGCAGCGGTGGCCGAGTTGGTTAGGACAGTAGTTTGTCCAGAAGCGGTGGTGGTTCAAGCCCTTGCAGTGTCAAAACATGAGTGACGAATTCTTGTTTAATTTAAAATCTCCAAGGAAAGGATTAAATCAAATAAAAAACCTGCGTCTTTCACCACAAGCAGCGGTGGCCGAGTGGGTTAGAACAGTGGTTAGTCAATAAACGGTGGTGGTTCAAGCCCTTGCAGTGTCAAAACATGAGTTGCGAATCCTTATTTAATTTAAAGTCTCCAAGGAAAGGATTAAATCAAATAAAAAACTTTCGTCTTTCACCACAAGTAGCGGGAGCCAAGTGGGTTGGAACAGTGGTTCGTCCGTTGACGTTGGTGGTTCAAGCCCTTGCAGTGTAAAAAATTAAGTTGCAAATTCTTATTTAATTTCAAAGACTTGTAAGGATAAGGTGAAAAAATTCTAAGTCTAAAAATTTCTAAGTCTCACCACCAGCACTGATAGCCGGTAGTGAAAGACTTGGAAAATTTAAAAAGTCTTAAGTCGAAGAAAGGATTAAGTAAAACAAGACGCCTGTTCTGGCGTTAACTCCGGCGCACGTGCCAGTCTTTAATATAGAGCTTCTGAACATTGAACAATACAGTTCATATTCGCATTTTAGATGCCTTGCGAACCTAAATGTTCGATCGCGAAATTCAGAAGCATATCGTACTTTAAAAAGTATAGAAGTTAAATTGTTCAAAAATGTAAATAAACCGCAAGATACATTCGCTTTGTCTTACACTTTGCCTTTGGAATTCGCGATTATATAGTTATATTAAATCTTCAATCTTGTGCAAACTACGACGTGTCAACGCGCCCATACACGACCACATCATCTTGTTAGACGGCGAAATAGCAGCGATATTATTAAAATAGGACCAGAATCTACATGTATTAAATATATTCTTTCCCGAATTCAATCTAAACTTAATCGAACAGCATGAAGACAACGGTTTATTTGTTCCTCTTGGAGGAATTGCCGTATCATGCGAGCGAAATCGAATCGCGCATCGGAAAATTAGCCAAAGCTGTGCAGTGTGCACCACAACTCTTGGGAGATAAGACTGGGACGTAGATAAATGCGGTCACAAACACATTTTAAATGTTTCGCGCCATTTCAGACTTGCGACGACGAAAAATAAAAAAAAAATAAAAAAACAACAAAACAAAACCGGGGCGAATTTTCAATAAAAAACACCATTCATTATTAAGAGGGAATAGTCACGCTGTAACGACAATGGCCTCGCAAACTGTCAAGTTCGTGGTTCGAATCTTACATGGGGTAAAATAATTTCATTACCACCAGAAAGAATAGATTTAGGCAAGATAAAAAAAACGAACCTGTGAATCATAAGGTCTCTTTTGGTCTAGTGTTGAAGGCAATGGTCTCGCAACATTCAAGTCGGTATTTCGAATCCTCGGAAGAATAATTTTCATTATTCACCCCAAAAAAGCATTGAGATAAACGCAGCCTTGAACGTCAAGCGCTGGTGGTCTAGTGGTGAAGACAACGTTCTCGCAATCTAGATGACCATGGTTCGAAACGTTATTTGGGCCTTTTTTTATTATGCTAATTGCAACTTACAAACATGCGTCGTGCATGTAAGTGTACTGTCTTTAATTCTCTACGCATATGATGTATGCACGTGGTCATTCGTGCACTGTGTGGACTATTGCATGATGTCAAGAAAATTTTAAATGTCCTTAATTCACTTCATTTGTTGAAAAATTGACCGGTTTTAGGTTGCAGTAAATGCAGTGAGTGAAAACGGACACTTTACGTTTATTAAACGTACTTAAACGACATTGCAAAGCGAGAAAAAGTGAAATTAAGTATTTATAAACCCCGCGCAGTCGCAGTGAACGAGTAATAATCCCACAATAACCACGTTGAGCAATGTCGTATATACTAAGCCGACAACTCTTGAACTCATACCCCACAGGCACACACCGATTATCGTTATCTACTCTTTTGGCAGGATTCTGTGGAAGAACTTTTGTTCTGGCATGTGTTTAGACGAGACTGATTGTTCGAATCCAATTACAACCGTTTTTCATTATGAACTTCATCAAAAGGATAAAGTAAATTAAATAACCGTCGCCGTTCAGCACAAGATCGTGTAGTCTAGTGGTGAAGACAATGGTCTCCTAAGTGTAAATCGGTGGTTCGAATCCTACCATAACCGTTTTTCATTATGAACTTCGTGAAAAGGATAAAGTAAATTAAATAACCATAGCCGTTCAGCACAAGATCGTGTAGTCTAGTGGTGAAGACAATGGTCTCCTAAGTGGTAAGTCGGTGGTTCGAATCCTACCATAACCGTTTTTCATTATGAACTTCGTGAAAAGGATGAAGTAAATTAAATAACCATAGCCTTTCAGCAAAAGATCTTGTAGTCTAGTGGTCAAGATGTTGGTCTTATGTGTCGACTGTCGAAGGTACGAATCTCGTTTTAGATGGAAATTTTAGTTATTAATATTACATGGTAAGGTTATGGAGAATAAGTTGTTGTAGGCTTCCAACAATCACCAGTTAGCCTTGTGGTAAAGTCGTGGACTATCAAGTACAAGATCGTGGTATCAAGAACAGTACGTTCCTCATGGCGGTGGAAAGAAAGAAAAAATGGGAGGAATGTTGCTCCGGGGAGGTTTGTATTCGATTAATCTTTGCAAATCAAAGTTAATCTTTAGGGAAATCAGGGGATAGATAGGGTGAATGAGGGGTATATGAGTACAAAAAGACTTAGTAATTGGGCGGCAGCCGAGGCTGCCGGGGCAAGGAAAAGGGTATAGGTGAGAGGGCACCATATAAAATGTTTAAGTCTTTTTGTACTCATTTAAACCTCTTTACCCCTATTTATCCTCCTATTTACTCCTATCTATCCCTACTTTTTCCTATCCTCATATACCCCCAACTATCCCCTAACACAATTAAATGTTTGAAGAAAGCTTGCTTTGAAAGTCAGGAAAGCCGGGGGAAAGAGAACCCCCCTCAGTCTACTCCTCGCCCAAGGCGAGGGCATATTCGCCCTCTCGCACTACTCCTCTCACACTCACAAATTCTCACTTTATTACCTTGTTGTTCTTTTTCGGTTTAACCAGGGCTTGAACCATCGACTGTATACTTCGCAGATC